AAGAGTTAGCGCGAGAAATCGCGCGGTTTTAGTGGCCGCGTAGTCGGTCTTGAAGGGTTGAACGTAGTATATTAAAACGGCGCGCTACCTCGCGAATTAAAGAGATTTCTTGATTTTTAAAAGCCTAGATGGCTAATAAGATCCTACCCTCTTGCTCTACTAAATTTTTAGAGCTTCGGGAGCGAATTAGTGGCATGGTGGGTGGTTGAAGAAGAAGGGTTTGAATTAATTGACGCGTTTTGGGTAGGGTGGCCGGCTCGGTGGTGTGGCCGGCTCGGTGGTGAAATACGTTATATAAATCTTTACTTTACTTATTCTTTAAATTATTTTATTAATTAGTGATAAAGAATAGTAATCTTTCTTTATAGTTATATTTAATCTTCTAAAATTAATATAAAAGTATAAACTTTTACTTAGCTTTTTAACTATTAAGATTAGTAAGATATATAAATAGGAACTTAAGATAATAAAGTCTTTCTATAGGTTCCTAAAAATATATTTTTTAGTAGCTTTTAGCTTCTATAATAATAATTTATAAAAAGAATAGTATTTAAGTTATACCTTAGCTTTAAGTATAATATTATAATTAACTTTATATCTATAAAGTAGTAATTTATCTAACTTCTTTTTAAAAAAAATAATTCTATAAATTTATAGTACTCTTCTAATAATATCCTTTTAATCTCCTTGATCTCTATATCCTAGATCTAAAAGCTCTTAATATTAATAACATAATTAATTAAATCCTATACTATTAATAGTATTTCTTTTAATTATTAAACGTTTAAAATTATTATCTTACTTTTATTATTTAAGTTTTAACTTATCTTTCTTTATTCTTTACCTTGCTAGTATTTATATTAATACTTATATATATATTTATAATTACTTTTTTATCTTTAATTCTTTTTAATTAAAAAGATAGTTTTATTAATTAATATTTATTTAATAGTTAAGATTTAGCTTTAATTTTTAAAAGATAGTAGTAGAGATTAATACTACTATCTTACTTAATATATTATTAAACAGTATTTTCTTAACTAGTTAGATTATTTAATATTAATAATAGTTAATAAGATATTATAATTTATAACCTTTTTCCTTTTAAGATTATATTATATTTTCTAAAGTTAGTAATTAGTATTAGAACCTACTACTATATCCTACCATATATATATATTATAAGAAAAGTAATGTATATAACTAGCTTACTAAGCTTTCTATTAAATCTTTAAATAAAGTACTCCTATCCTATACTCTCTACTTTTAATCTAAATTACTAAAAAGTATACTTAATTCTTAATTTAAGAATATATATCTATCTACTCTTATATTACTTACTATTAAAATTGAAAAAAAAGGATCTATTATATATTAGTCTAGTATTAAAATTAAACTATCCCTAAGACTACTAATTAATTTATATAAATCTAGTAAGTATAGTAATACCTTCTATCTACTTAAGTAAAAGACTTAGCCTAAGTATTAGCTTTTCCTTAACTATTATCTTCTTTATTATTAAGTTTAATAATATACAGAAAAGGGGAAGCTATACTAATAGTAGCTATATTAGCTAGCTTCTCTTTTAAGTAGTTATAGATTATATATCCTTATTTTTTATAACTAAAGTATGGAAACAACTAATTACACCAGATTTTTAATAATCATATACTTTGACTAAGCTACTTTAGGAATGTTTCCCACTAGCCGTAGGAATCAACTAGCCTGTGTAAATTATTATAGTATCCTTATATTATTTTACATACCTATCATATGACATGCGACGATACTATAACACTAGCTAAGTACCATTTCTGGTGATAGATAACGCTATAAAATAGGGGTTTGTAAGGCTCCCCCCTTCTAGTATATTAGTAAAATCAATTTATAGTACCACCACAAATGCAGATTTCGACTATATAAAATATGCATTTTAATCCTTAAGGTCTAATTTATAAGAATCTAGCAAATCTGACCAATTTATCTAGATTTTTAGGCAATAAAATGGGATGTTAAATAGGCAGTTTGCGGGTAAAAAAAAGAAGAGGTATACAGTTTTTTTATCGCCTATTTCTTACCTAAAAATCTAGATAAATCGGTCGAGTTTACTAGATTCTTACGAATTAGACCCAGGCGATTAAAATGCATATTTTAGATAGTCGAAAATCAGCATTTTTGGTAGTGCTGTGAATTGATTTTACTAGTATACTAGAAGGGGACCCTTCTATACCCCTATTTTTATCTAATAAACCACCCATTTTCTCACCTAATAATCCAGATAAATCGGTCGCTTTTGCTAGATTCGTACAAATTAGACCCTAGTGATTAGAATAACTACATATTTTAGATAGTCGAAAATCAGCATTTTTGGTAGTACTGTGAATTGATTTTGCTGGTATACTAGAAGGGGGGACCCTTCTAAACCCCTATTTTACGGCGTTATCTATCACCACTTTAGGTATACTTCAATGGTGTTATAGTATAGCCATAAGTCATATGACGGGTGTGTAAAATACTATGCGGATACCATACTAATTTATATAGGCTAGGTAGTAGGACCGACTAGTAGGAAACATACCTAAAGTAGTTTAGCGTTGAGTATTACAAGAAAAATTCGGGTGTTACTAGTCTTTCTCTAAACTATAATAGATAGTTTATATTAGAATTCTAAACTAAATTTTATAAAATCTTTAGAATTAAAAGAAAGTTAATAATAATATATTACTTTTAAATAAATAAACAAAGTAAGATTATTAATTAATATATAGTTTTAGTAATTATATTTATATATAAACTAGAATTAAGATAATTAGTTAAAGTTATTTCTAATAGTTAATTTTATAGTATTAATTCTATTTTAAGATATAATAAAGAAGTTATCTTTTTTAATAAAATAAAAGTATAAATTAATAATAATATTTAATTAGAAAGACTAAAGAATAGTTATATTAAATAAAAAGAAAATAATATAGATACTTTCTTAATTATAAAATATCTAATTTAAAATTAGAGAGTAAATTAGAAGACTTAGTTTTTATTATAATAAAAAATTAGTTTTTAGATTAATTAAGTAAGAAGCTTTTCTACTTTACTAGTAAATCTTATAGGATTATTAAAAAAGTAAGTAATTCTTATAAATTAAAATTACTTAAAGTAATTTAAGTATACCCTATTTTTTATTTAAATAAATTATAGAAAGTAGTAATAATAAAACCTTTGGAAGGTTAATATATAAATCTACCTCTACTAATATAGGTTAAAGAAATAGATAAATAAGAGATTAAGAAAATCTTAGATATTAGGATATACTATCGAAAGTTTTAATATAAAGTATTATAGTTAGGATATAATTTAAATCTATAGTAGTATCTTATTAGTAATATAAAATATATATTAAAGAAGATATAGGAGTTCTATATATAATACCTTAATAAACTAAGGCCCCCTATATATTCATAAGAATAGCTAGATATTAATAAGAAAGACTAAGTTCTTAAAGATTATATTAATAATAATAAGCTAGTATTTAAGGACTGAATATAGTTTTAGGTAGGGGTTATATTATAATCTAGAAGTATTATAGAAAGAGTTCTACTATCGGATCCCGACTTTAGTTAGGATTCTAGATTTAGAGGGAAGTAGTTAGATTTTTATATAGTTTATTATTATTGTTCACCAAAGCCCTATAAAGGCTTCGCGGACTTAATTCTTTCTCTCTTCTTTTCTTTCTTTCTCTATACTTAGTATTCTCGTTAAAATACACTATTTACTTTAAAGAACTGGCTAGTAACAGGTACTAATAGGAATTCAGATCTACTCTTTACTTTACTATAATTACTTACTTTAATATAGCAAAAATAGTAAATTACTTAGTTAAGTTCCTTATAAATCTTACTTTATGCTCCGTACTTCGTATAGTAAGCTCTTAGTATTGAGTCATCTTTAGCACGTTCTAGTTCCACACGTTATTTTATTTTTTAGTAATAAATACTAAATACATATATATAACATAAATATCTATATTCCTATAGAATACTAGTATATTCTCTTCTGTATATCATTAACTATTAACTTTATACTATTCTAGGCTAGATTTACTGTTAATTAATAAATATATAGTACTCAAACCCTTTAATCTATTAATTAACTATTAGTTGTAAATTACTAAAAATTTTAAAAGTAACCAGAATTATCTCCTAATACCAATATATATATATATATACATATATATATATAATAGTAATCTACTAAAATAAGTTAGTATATTATCTATCTATTTTAGGTAACCCTTAGCAGAATTATACTAGTGTAGTACTAAACTGGTACTGCGACGGTGCCGTAGTACCTGGTACTGTAGTACTATACAACATAACCAAAATTTAATCAGTCCTGCAGCACCTCGTAGCACCATATCGCAGCACTGAAATTGCCTAGGTGCTGCGGGACCTGTCAAGGCCTATTAGAGCAGATATGCTGCAGTCTACAAGGGACCCTGACCCTCAGAGGGGCGAGTGGATGGTCTAAGATTATAGACCACCCACAGGGTCACTGCCAGGTCCACACCAAGTAATTATTTACCAAGTCCATTACTGCTTCTCGTAAAGTCACCTCTCTCACTTTTGTATGGCCCGCTAGTAAAAGATACACGGGTGATCGTTTGCATATTGAGTGGAGTCTGCAATTGTAAAAACGTCTTAGGGCCAGTTAATCAATAGATACACTTATATGAGATCTCACATCCCCTAGTCCGATAATATCCGTAAGTTACCCTATATCAATTAGGTTTCGACATATAGCGTTGCGCCTTAAGTTGAAATTTGCAGGTAAAACTTTGTATTATAGAACATGGTATGGCGTGCGAGACGTTTGAAAATACCATAGACCTAAGTTAGCCATGTACTTATGCATGCAGATGTGCATAGGCCGGTGATATTTTCTTCAATGCGAAATGTAATGCCCACACGAAGTTGGATTGATTGCGAGAGACATGACCGGGATCTTTAAGAGCTAGATTCCCATTTTTCCTTTGCTGACACGATCTCAAGAATTAGGGACGTATTCAGCAATGCCTTTTTCGCTGCTTCGTCACCTGCAGCTGCTTTACTCAAACCCTGACCGGAACCCAGGAACCTTTTATCCCATCCCCACCCTGTGAGATATAACGCGACAAAGAAAGTCTGAGTGCCACCCTTCTGCTGAATCGATGGGCGCTGCTCGAGGTATTCAAGCTTAACATTTCTCCCCATAATTTTCTTAGCAAGAGCCTCCTTAGAGCGTAGTTCACCTTTCTGGTGACCTAGTTTATTGAGAATTGGCACCCATAAACCTGTTAGCCAATGCTCGGCTGCTTCATAGCCACAAACAGGATCCGAAAGTATGACTGCCGCGACGTAGGCTTCGAAGACATCGCCCTTTGTTTTGGTCCATCGCTTTGACGGGGTATTGTAATTCGGTGGCACAGAAACCCTGCGGTCCAACCCAAACTTTTCTGCGAAGCCTGAAAGTGTCTCATTCTTAACGAGGATCTCCCGAATCTGTGATATTCGACCTGCTGGCAAATCTGGAAATCTCTCCCAGACAAGTTTGGTTGCAATCAGCTCGATGTATGCATCGCCTAGAATCTCGAGTCGGTCGTAGGTCGTGTTGTTATTGTTGCTAAGAGCTGGATGGGTGAAGACAGCAAGTTCTAGCTTGCCATCAATGATCGGGGGTAGCTCAGGGTCACACGATCCACTGACCAACCTGGAACTGTGATACGGGTGGTGTGATTTTGGGACCTCACTAGCCATGGAGGAATCTCTGGAGGGCAATTGGTTCTTTGTCCCACAAAATGCATCATCCAGCCTCAAAATCGCGTCCGCAACCTCCGAGCCAGCACCAGTAAGTTCAGAACTGTTTGAAATTTCTCGAACAAGGTGCTGTAGAGAGAGAAGACGAGAACTGTTGTTGGACTTGGCCGTGCTGTGACTAACACCAACAGAAAACTTAGTGTCCGATGGCCGACTTGATGATTGAACCTTTATGAAAGTAGATGTCAATAACTTACTCAAACAAATAGGAATTCACTCAGTGAGATGCGAATATGGTATTCATTCACCTTGGGCCGCTTTTGTGAGTTTTGGGTGGCATCTAACCCAAAGACGGATGATGATCTTTTCAGATCTACCGCTGGCTTTTTTAAGCCTGTTGAATCTGCTATCTCTTCACCTTGGGGCATGTCGATTGTTGTAGGCCCTGTTCAGCCTCAAACCAGTTCTGCGGTTGCGCTCTCTTTTTATTTGCTTTTCTTTTGTTTCCCATCTCGGAGGTAAAACATTATACGATAGGATATGTAGGCGGTATACTTTCGGGATGTCACATGACCATCGGGCAAACTTCAGTGTATCTCCCGAAGTTCGATAACATCTGTCTACTGAGCTGCTGTGAATAGCTGCTTCGCAAATTTCTTTCTGCACATGATTCTTCTGAAAAACTGAGAAAGGAAAATGGTGTCCAGTCGTATCGTGGATCTAGTGAAGGTTCAACCACACTTTACATTGCACTGTCCTGGCACTCACTAATTGGCAATTCTCCAGACCCAATGCCGCATATTTTCTCTTAATTTCAACCCACAACGCCTTCGCCTTGGAAACAAGGTCTTGAGGCAGCGCCTTCGCGGTCCAACGCTTGCAGCCTGGTACCCAAAGAAGACTGTGTCTTTCCAGGATTTACAAAACACCTATAAGCCTCTTGGATTGACGACATTCGACGAAGCTGAAGATGACAGGGAAGAAGCTATTCAGATGTAAGGATTATAATCCACATCACATCAAAACAAGCTCTTACTAAAAATCCGATTCATAGTGCCAAATTACGAGGGAAGGGCCGGCCCAAGAAAAAACGAACTGCAGCAGGTAATTCCCTCTACCCCCAATGGTTTCATACCAGGATCAAAATCTAAGACTTGAACAGAATCGAGATCCGCGAAGAAGAAGAAGTAAACTGCATGTCTAAACTTCTAGACTTTGCCTGGCTCAACATTGCACCACTCACATCAACACCGACACATATTCTATATCCGGATTATTCCCTACGATCTGGCTGGGCTAGTGAAATACTGCTTTGCAAAGCAGCTTGGACCTTTTGCTTCAGGTGCAGATTGTCTTTGGATTTTATTATCTCTGCCGGTAGTCTTCACCATCGGGCACAGCTCATCAGCTCATCTTATTTCACATTTTGTACAATAACACACTGTTTTTTTCTTCTTCTCCTTTTTTTGGGTCTCATGTCAGCAGTTCATTTTAACAACACGTAAACATAAGAAATCCATACTTGCACCAAATATATACAGTGACTGGACATACAACATAAGTATTTGCATCGTCTGGACCCACACCTTGATTATATAATATAATGCTGGTCAAAACCCTTCAAAAATTCATACAACGAAATCTAGTATGGGGTATATCACCCCTGACTCTTAATGATGGCTTCCACTCTGTGTGGAATCATCTCAGAGAGATGCCCCAAGTGCCGCATCTCTAATCTTTTCCATGCCTACTGGGTAGTAGCAACCAGGATCTCCTCTATAGTGTCATTATTGCCCATATGTAGGAGATTAGGTATGCTATGCTTTTTAGGTAGGCAGTACGGAGTATATATATATAGGTATATAAGGGCGGTCATTGGGGTGGGTCCACAGGCGATGCAAATATGTACTAATGTTCAGTCACTGTATATATTTGGTGCAAGTATGGATTTCTTATGTTTACGTGTTGTTAAAATGAACTGCTGACATGAGACCCAAAAAAAGGAGAAGAAGAAAAAAAAAGTGTTTTATTGTACAAAATGTGAACGAGATGAGCTGATGAACTGTACCTATGGTTATGTAAGATAGATATACAGTCATATTTCATGAGTATTTGCACCCCAGTACTTCTATTTTTTGCCAGAAGAATTTTACATCCAATCATATCTGATCTTGCTATACGGGTGGGGTCTATACCAGTAGTTATTGAAAGGCGGTATATCCAGGGCGGTCAACGATAGAAGTATTGGGGTGCAAATACTCATGAAATGCCACTGTACCTGTGAACAACAATGTACTGCATCCAATTGGGTGATATATAGGCGGTAGGTATTAGCAAAACACAGGCGGTGGGAGTTTGTAGGTGGACACACGTGATGACAATTGCAATATACTCAGTTTTTAATCTTATCCCGCCCCGTCCATTGTCTTTTACTATCTTCTTGCACGCACTTGAACCAAGCTGCCTGTGACACACCTCTTTCCATCTCTTATAATATTCCCCACCTAGCATCCCCTTGATTGAGCGACCACCATACCATCCACAGAAACCATGAAATTGAGCAAGAACCAGCTCAGAAGAGCTAAGAAAAAGGCCGACAAAGCCGAGGTAAGGCATATATATGCTTCAAAATATCTCGGTCATAGCTGATGCAAAGCTGACACTACTACAAAGGCTACTGCAAAGAGTACAGGCGCTCCCATTGACAATACCATACCACGGGAGCTGTCACCTCTCCCAGTGGCTACTTCTCAGGATGCACTAGCTGATACCAGCACTGATCTGTCTCCTGAGCCAACTGACCCGCTATGGGAAATGTACAAAGGCTTTGCTGGAAAATTCGACGAGACACTGAATGAAAATTCATTCGCGAAGGAGTCTGATAAGCCTGAGGTCTTCTTTGACGATGGCGATGAAATACCCGATGAAGAGCAAGAGAGCGAGCCCAAGATTTCAAAGAAAAAGCGCAAGGCAATGAACAAGTTATCTGTTGCTGAACTTAAAGCGACGGCACGAAAGCCTGAAATTGTTGAATGGACAGATACATCCGCCCCCGATCCTCGACTACTTGTTCACATCAAAGCCCATCGTAATGTGGTCCCGGTTCCCTCTCACTGGTCGCTTAAACGAGAGTATCTATCATCCAAACGAGGCGTGGAGAAGGCGCCGTTTGCTCTTCCCAAATTCATACAGGAGACTGGGATTTCCGAAATGCGTGATGCTGCTTTAGAAAAACAAGAGCAGTCAAGTTTGAAGCAAAAACAAAGGGAAAGGGTGCAGCCAAAGATGGGCAAACTGGATATTGATTACCAGAAGCTTTACGAAGCATTTTTCCGCTTTCAAACTAAGCCGGAGCTGACTCGCTACGGTGAGATCTACTATGAGGGCAAAGAATACGAGACGAATCTCAAGCACCTCCGACCTGGCGAACTGAGCGATGAGTTAAGGGACGCTCTTGGTATGACCCCAGGAGCTCCTCCTCCGTGGCTCGTCAACCAGCAGCGATATGGCCCATCGTCTGCCTATCCTGCATTGAAAGTCCCCGGCCTCAATGCGCCACCTCCACCGGGCGCGTCGTGGGGCTACCATCCTGGAGGGTATGGAAAGCCACCTGTTGATGAACACAACCGCCCATTATTCGGAGGTGATATCTTCGGCGTTTTACAACCCCAACAACATGCCCAACACGGAGAACCGATCGAAAAGGATCTTTGGGGGGAATTACATGAACCGGAAGAGTCAGAAGAGGAAAGTGAAGCAGAGGAGGAGGACGATGAACAGGAAGAAGAAAACGATGAAGATGGTGTGGGTGTAGGTGCTCATTCTCCTAGCGGCATGGAAACACCAAGTGGGATTGACTCAGCAGTACCATCTGAATTCGTTGGCGCTGAGAATGTCTCCGGGGAGTTTGATGTGCGCAAACACCATCGTGGTACCGACACAGAGCAATCCGTTCACACTCGGAGTGCTTATCAGGTCATCCCCGAGAGGCAAACGAACGTGGAAGGCTTTTTCGGAGGCGACAGGGCCTACGATCTTAGCGGATCAACAGCCAAGCCTCCTATTCTTGGTGCAGATGATCAAACCCGAAAACGCAAGAAGCCTGGGGATGTTGAAGTCTCTGTCAGCTTGGATGCAATTCAATCTGGTGATGGCCTCAGCAAAGAGAGCCTTCAGAGCATGTATGAGTCACAGAGACAGCAACAAAATCCACCAAACTGGGGTTTTCAAGAAGACTTGAGTGATATGATTGCACAGGAGAGCCGCAAAAGATTGCGAAAGGAAGAAGAGAGACGAGGGAAGCATTGAACATGTTCTGTGTATTTTTTTTCCTCCCCTATCTTGGTTCTTTGTTCCCTGGGCGTGCATCTTTCGTGATGAGCATTGGAGTTTTGAGGTTTCAAGAAAGGTCTCTGACCTATAATGTACGATTATCTTTGAATCAATGTCTTATTGAATTATTTTATGAAATTTCTAAGGGGTGTATACTGTAGATATGTCTGTATTAAATCTTCGGTCCGTATAGATTTCTTCTTGTCTAGGTTATTGTATGTTGTATATGTTCGGACAATCGAGACCCACAATTATAATGAATTCCCAAAAGGGTTTAGCTTGGTGCTCTCATCTACCACATTTCGACCCTTGAATTCCTTGTGTACTTTGATTCCCACCCCCCCAGGAGACGGAGAAGGGCAATTGTATGTTCCTGTGCTCTGTCTTCCATTTACACACCTGTTTGCTCTGAACTTCAATTCCACTGCCTTTAATATCCCTATACTCATTGCTAGAATGGATTGGGATCGCAGAAGGTTGGTAGGCACATCGAGACGTTTTGAAAGGCATAATGTTTCTAAGTACTTCACTAGATTTGATGAACGACGAGGTGGAGAAAGTTATCGTCCAGCCGAGAGAAACGGTCGTTCCCCTTCTCGGGGGTATGAAATTCGTCACCGGCGTTCGCCACCACGAACCCGAAGCCCTCCTCGACCACGAGCCGATACTTGGGTACCGTCATCAAATAGAGGGTATGGACGCCCACGAAGTCGGTCACCACCACCATATCGGCGCCGCTCACGTACTCCTCCGGGGAGAAACTTTGGTCCAGCCCCCTATGAAAGAAGACGATCACCAAGAAGATTTTCGCCTAGGCGAGATGAAAGGGTCCGCTCACCACCCCCAAAATGGCGCTCGAAATCTCCCTACAGTGATGGCAGATCACGGAACACATCCCGTGCTCGCAACAGCCCAAGGCGCATACGCGATACAACTCCTATCAGCCAAAATTTCCGATCCGCAAGACGGGACGGGTCTGCTGTCTTGAATATTGACAGACCCCCCAGAGCTTCCTCGCCGAGAGAACATTCAGAAGTATCGTTGCCACAGAGTCCAATTAATGCCTCGCATGGAGGCCACCCTCTTGATACGGCAAAGCGAGATCGTACTTTGTCGCCACCAAGACATGTTTCGCCTGCACAAACCGTGGCCTCACAACCAGTCCAGCTATCTCAACGTTTGTCGCCAGCTATAGAAAAGCATGTTGTGGTTTCGCACACAGCTCGTAGTCGGTCACCGATCCGCTCTCCGGTACCCTTCCAACGTTCGTCGAAACCCTCAGAGCGATCTCCGTACGGGGACCAGATCCATGACACGGAGCCCTCTTACCCACATCGGCTAGATAACGAGGAAAGAGTATCGGTTGGCAACCATTCGCCTTTCTCGATTCCAGAGAAAGCGCATTTGGAACTTCAGACGAGTGGGACTAAGGTTGGTGGCAACATTCCAACTCAACCGAAAAACCATGGCGCAAGCCCAGTTACGCTCCCACCACCAGGATCTTATCAGGGACCGAGACCGCCATCCAATCAGCATCGGGGTCCTCCGCATGTCTCTTTACTATCAGCACCGACTCGTCCTCGCCGCGGACCTGGCCCACGTGAAGCCTGGATGGGGTCTCCGGCGATACGCCGCGGACCTACTGCACCTTCCCAGGTCCCACCAGCAGGTCCTCGTGCTTCTTTTTCATCCCCCGTGCCAGGTGGCAGTTACCGACACCCAACTTCCCGGCAACTCAGCACTCCATCTGTAACTCAACCATTGTCTCAGAGGGGTATAAATCATCTTGCGGGACTCTGTACTATCATACCAGAAGGTCGGAGTCTTCCGTCGCTTCTCGATCCTGCTGTGGAGAAGCGGCTGGCTCAGCTCGATGTTGACAAAGAAAAGCTCCTTGAGCAGATCGCAGAGACGCAGAGGTCCAAACGGGCGGAACTACGAGACTGGGATCGACTCGATCGGGAAAGCTCAATATGCGCTCTTAAGAGCGAGCTAGCTGAAGGTCATCTCCAACGAATGGCCGATGAGAGCATTGGAGGTGGAAACTTGTTCTAGCGAGGCAACTGCATATGTTTTGAAAATGGCAATTAGTCTTGGGCGTTTAATTTGGTCATGTGTCTGTGTTAAGGTGGGCAGGCCTAGGTAGCGATTATGATTGTATCAATATGATGACTTGACGACATTATGCATTCTGGGGTATTTCTTTATAATTGTGGTCTACATAGATAACGTATTTCACTACCGAGCTGCGCAAACCACCGAGCTGCGCAGCCCAGAACAAATAGTCAAAGCGATAAATTAAGACATGATATTTCAGCAACCAACGCTTTTATTTGACTTTATTACTCGCTGATAGCAATTGATAAGCATTTCAAATATCTTATATCAGTTTTAAATAAATCGAGAGCTTGCATTGTTATGGTATCGAAAAATACATTGCTAAACTCTTGAAATATATATATCTCAGTCACTAGTTTGTTAAAGTCCCCTAGATTCTAATAAGTGGCTAGATATCACATAAAAAGCATTTGGCTACAAGGAAAAACTGATATAGACAACCGTTGTTGAAATATTATATTGTAATTTATCGCTTCCACTATGTGTTCTGGGCTGCGCAGCTCGGGGGTGTGCGCAGCTCGGTAGTGAAATACGTTAACTAGTGTAAGGTATATATAGTATGGGGCAATAATCTAGATCATTGTTATGTACAATATTCTACTTTTATATAAGTATTGGACTAAAATACAAATATTTAATACTCCATAGAGTACTTATTAAGTATATATATACATATATGTATGTGTATGGTACATACAGGTTTTGTACATGTACCTGTACCTGATCTGCAAGTAATTTTAAGTTCCCCTTCCATTTTTTTGCCTTCGTGTCAACAACTCAGCTGTTTTGGTCGACACTCCTACCAATTCTCAAACTCCCTTCTCCTCTTCTCCCTTCTCTCCCTCTTTTCTTTTACCTGACCATTTTCCACACTGAAATTTATCACCGGCATAATGAATATCTTCAGGTTATTAGGTACGATATAATCAATGGAGACCAACGCGATATACTAACCCTCAATTGCAGCCGACTTCTCTCATTTAGCGTCGATCTTCATGCTTCTGCGGAAGATGAAGACGTCAAGCGTATGCTTTCCTGTTGATCAAGCCACATATGACCTACTAATGGTGCTTCGTAGAGTTGTTCCGGGTTGTCGTTCAAATCGCAAGTGCTATACCTTCTCGTTTTTGTCACTCGGTATCTCGGTATGTTTCGACGTCACCATCGACTTTATATTCATCACAGTCGCTCATGCGCGTCTTAGATCTTTTCTGGACGTTCACCGAGTCTTTGTACCTCACCACGTTCAAGCTTCTATTTATCGGTTCTTCGGCCTACGTCATCTACCTCATGCTCAACGACTACAAGCCTACACATGATCCCAACATCGATACTTTCAAGGTTCAATACCTTCTCGGAATCAGCGCGGTGCTCGCGATTCTCTTCCCACGCGATTATCGCATCTCCGAGGTTGGTCGAAATCTTGTGGAGTGGAAAGATCCGGACTAACGTCATGTAGATACTCTGGACTTTTTCCATCTGGTTGGAGTCAGTTGCCATATTGCCACAACTATTCATGCTGCAACGAACCGGGGAAGCAGACACTATCACGACACACTATCTATTTGCCCTCGGACTCTATAGGGCACTCTACATCCCGAACTGGGTCTTCCGCTATTTCACCGAAGCCTCCTTCCAACGTTCCTTCCAGCCCGTGACCATTATCGCTGGAATTATCCAAACATTGCTTTACTCCGATTTCTTTTACATTTACTACAACAAGTAAGCCCTAAAATCAGCCCCCAAAAAGAATTATGGGCGTGTGGACACTGACTTTTCTGCCTCTTTTTCCCTCAGGGTCTTGAAGGGCAAGAAGTTCTCTCTTCCTGTTTAGGGTACTGTTTCTTTTTTTTTTTTCTTTTTCTTTCTGAATGGATCGAGGAATTGATATCTTGGATCTTCCAAAGGTTCCGAGATGGAGTTTTGAAATCAATCCACTCGTTCCTTTTATATTTGCCTAGGACACCTATCATCTAGGCATGTCACGAGCAAGTATCTTGAAACCATGCAACACCAACCCCGACACTGGGAGTTATGAATTAATGTTTCCATGTCGCCAATCTGTATGCATTTAGGAAAGGTCACATGAGGCTCAGCTAAACCTGCAATTGACCCCCTAATATCGAATATCGAATATCGAATACCATGGACAATGTGCATATGTGTTTCATAGTTATCAGACAAGACCTGTACTTTTGTCATTCTACCATTCAAACGTACTATCACCTATGTATACTTAATGTTCCAGATTCGAGAATCAAAAATTCAAAGTGATATTTTTGGTTTTTTTGGGCTTTTCATGTTTCCTCTTTTTTTTCTTCTTTTATTCGAATTCCTCCCCCTTCACGATGTCCCTTGTGTCTTCGTACACTCAAGGCCCCATGATGGGAATCAACTTCTCGCCCCGTTCATGTATACCCATTATACTTGACAAGCATAAAACGATATAGAGACTCATACTTTTGGAGAGCACATAATGAGTGTACTCAGAAAATATCAAAAAGCAACATCCACGGTCGACGAGAAAAGATCAAAACTCTCGAGGGGCAGTCCCATGTGTCGGCACATATCCCGTTGTATAATTCAACTGGGACGAAGGGATGGATAGATCCGTGGAAAAGGGATCCAAGGTGCCAGCAATTGAATGCGAAAGGTTGCCCATGGGACCCTGGAATGACCGAACTCCATTGCCTAGATTCGAGCGACCTTGCACATTTTGACTATCCAGCCAGCCACCGTGTCCATGTAAATGGCCAAAATAGTCTGCTTGCGTCCTGTCAAGAGGCATTTGACCAGTAAATGTTGATTCTCGCCGCGAAATTGGCGGCGACGGGAGCTTGGGAGATCGGGAAACCATCTCTAGTCTGGGGGAACTTCTCCGCGAATTTGGCGGTGTCAATCGTGATCCCCCACGGCGCACTTGACAGGTTGGACATATCTTGACAAAGCGGGAGATCAATTCCTTGGGAACCCTAATGAGATAGTTAGGATCAAACATGTGTATAGAGAGAGAGAGAGAGAGAGAGAGAGAGAGAGAGAGAGAGAGAGAGAGAGGGATATAAATGGATATATATATATATATATCACATTGACTCGGATTGCTTACCATGAATAGATTCGCCGGACCTGAGCAGATGTTTTGTCTCGGCCACCATGCTGGCATTGCTGATGGGCCTTGGTGAGGATTTTGAATAATTTTTCCCGAATTGCAACCGGCTTTCCCTCATGACAGATCATCTTTCTATGCTGGATATATCCGTCAGTGTTTTTTTTTATATCATATCCGGGACAAACGGTTACATACATCCGACCCAACAGCTTGGAGTTTGAACATCTTTTTAACCCAAAACCTGATTTGTTTAGCAAAGGCAACTGATTGACTCAAAAGAGGTCCCATACCTAAATTGAGCTGATTCCACCGCCGTATCTTTGGGATCAATCAACACAGTTCTGATGTTCCGGGCTCTCTTCGCATAGATCAACGCTTTATCTTGCTTCTTGATAGACAGATCCTCCACGTAGCTAGAAGATATTAGCCACAAAGTCCACATGGGTCATAAAAAATCACTCACTTCTGCATCAGTTGATCAAACTCCTTTACATCCGGGAAGCCACTCAGTGCCGGCACTACAGCCTCTGACAGCAATGTAGCCTCGTTGTGAGATTCCTGATTTTCAATCTCTGTTTCACCTAACGGATCACGGGGCAGATATCTTGGTCCTTGAAGGTACCGTGATTGGGACATGAACTGCGGTGGATGATGTAGCCTGGGATCATCAGGGGTTGTCATCGATGGAATTGAATGCTCCGAGGTATATTGCAAATGTTGCAACCCCGAAGATAGACTCGACTGTGGACCATAGGGCTGCCCAAATTGAGACCCATATGGATTGAAGGAATGAGGAAAATGATATGAACTAGATCCATGTGTGTTGAAGTCATGGTTTTCTTGCTTGAAATCACCCTCTGGCTGACCATAACCAGGTACTGCCATTTGATTCATGAGATAAGCATCATTCCCTTCATTGCGTCTTGCAAAGCTGCTCATAGTGAGTTTTGAATGGCACCTGATTATTGTTCAGCCCGATTTGTTTCAAACAAACAGAATAAAAAAAAACAAAGGATTATACAGAGTAAATCTGAAGAACCTGGGTACAGTACAAAAAAAAAAAATAAAAATAAAGAAAGAAAGAAAGAAAGAAACTGTGTCTAAAAGCAAGAAAGGTGAGATATAGAAAGAATAATTCCTTAAAAAGCCCTGGGAAATGGGGGTAACAATTCTATTAAAAAGACAAGGCAAACAGTGCAGGACTGACATGGCTGATGCCCAAGAAGTGCACGAGACGAGACAACAGAGGGCATCCCTGGACGACGAACAGCAAATATTTCACAGAGAAAAAAGAAATGATGGAGCTAGGCAAGTCGAACTCTCTCTGTCAGGTACGGGGGAAGCATACTGAAAAAAAAAGAAAAAGAAAAAAAGAAAAAAAAGAAAAGAAAAGTAAAAAAAAGCAGTAAGGCCTAGGGTTTTCCGAAGAGAGAGAGAGAGAGAGAGATAGAGAGAGAGAGAGAAAGAGAGATACAACGCATAAAAGTGGTACGGATTCCATTTCGTTTCAATGTCCTAGCCACGTCGATATTCAAGGCATCCTATAGATAGTAAGAGAAGAAAATGATTTGATGTTAATAGAGCGGGGGAAATATAATCATCTCCCCGACTTTATTTTTTTTTTTTTCTTTTTCTCTTTTTCTCTTCTCTATACATGGAATCACTTAAAACCATTTTAAATGCACGTTTGCTCAAACAAAGTCGGCAGTAAGTAACCGTGTAAAAAAAAAGAGGTAAGGAACATGGGAGAAAGAAGAAGATTGAAAGATCAAATCCCTGTTCAATACCTGTTCAATGCCTGTTCAATGCCTGTTCAATGCCTGTTCAATGCCTGTTCAATACCTGTCAATGGCCTGTTAATGCCTGTTAATGCCTGTCAATGTACCAAATGCAAGAATCCGAAATGTTTTTTTTTTAATGCAGACGGGAATGACAGGATAACATACGTTTGGTTAAAAAAGCCCTGGTCTGAGACATCGGACATTCTTCAAAGGTTCGGACCCTCGCAGTTAACAAAATATCTGGTGTCACTCTGTTGCTTCCCGTTTTCCCCGAGTCCGATATTTCTTTATTTTATTTTATTTTTTTTTTAAAAAAAAGAGAGATGAGATTCAAAAAATATAAAAAAATAATAATAATATAACATTTATCATTTCAAATCGTAAAAGTTCGTGTAGTGTACATGGTCTCTGTAGTCAAACTAAATCCCGGATAATCCATCTCCAAGGATAATCACCTCGATCAAACACCCATTTGTCAACTTTACGTCTCCACTTATCTTCTTCAGCTCGCTGTCGTCGAATGAATTCTGGTCCGACATCAAATTCTTCAGTCATAGGTCCTTCATCAGAGGATTCACCGGCACTGGCATCCTCTTCAATCTTGTTTTCATCCAAATCATCTAGACCGGCAAAAACATCCTCATCTGTATCTTCAAATGCCCGGAGCCAGCACATACGTTGTGGATCGAAGACCATTCCACCAACTGTCTGAACGTTCTGCCCTCCAACGTTGGCAATAAGAGCCGGGGTAGGTTTAGGGGATTTGGGAATATCAAATTCCTGAACGAGATTTTCGTTTCCTTCCCACCGGAAATTGGTAGGGTTGTAACGCATACCGCTCACAGCTAAACAGTTAACACCCTGTAAAATCTAAAAAAGAGATTGGAAAATTGGGGAAAAACTTGTTTGTTTTTTTTTTTTTTTTTTTCCTTTTGGGGAGGGGGGGGCTTACATTTGGCATCCTGCACTCCAGATCCCATGGGCTTGATCAAGTGTGGCTTGGACGTTGATTTGACATTTGATTTACCTTTCCGGCTTCGGATGGTTGAGGCCGGAGGAATCCTGGAGCTCGGTGGGGATTTCCAATTGGTATTGAACGCCGAAAGAGGATTGGGTTCACGGTTTTTGGAGTTAATAGCCATCGATGCAATACGTTGTTCCCGTGCATTTCTGGAGGCATTTGTATCTCGCGCAAACCTAGGCGTGGGACTGCGCAATTTGGAGGTCGAGGGGGACGTGAAAGATTGAGGAGATTCATGCGGATCAATCCGACTCTGGCTAAGCCTGGCGCGGATGGACCTTGGAGCACCTCGACCGGCGGGAGTTTTGACGAACTTGCTCTCGGCCAAGACCGACGTAGAAAGGTCATCGAACGATTCCAACTCGGTTCCATCCCCAAAATTGCGTCTTTTGGTGGGTCGTGTGATGGTCCGTTTTGTAGAACTGTGGGGATCTGCGCTTGTGTCACCAACAGCACGGAACTCATTGCGAGGTCGGGAGAGTCGAGAGACGGTGCCCTGCGGACTAAGAAGCCCACCAGAGCTATCTGAATTTGTTCGACGTGACGAGCGATACCCTTTCACGCTGGCATGATGTGATTGGGATTCTGATACACCAGCCGGCATAAATGGTACCTGTGGCCGGCGACCTTGCGACCTCGCATCGGTTACAGGAGGTTCCACCGGGGTTTTAGGCCGGGCAGAGGGAAGACGGACTGGACGATCGATTGGCCGCTGGGAAGTCATTGAAGCGGCTGAGCCTAAGCCACGAATCGATGGTAGGGATCGCTTGGTCTTCAAACGCCGAACTGAAGGGTTACCTTCGCCAGCCTGGGCATTGTCCCGGGAATTGCGAGACCCGAGAAGCCGTCGACCAGAGAGTGTAGGAGACGGAGATGTTGGATTAGCGCTAGGGGCTGGGAGACTTGAAGTTGACGATTGAGACGAATGCCCTAGGCGCGATTGTGAGGTTCGAAATTTGGAAAGAGGTGCACCACTTTCTGACACAGTCTCAAGGTGGGTTGAATGGGTTCGATCATGGCCAGATAGACGTGGAATACGAGTTCGTGGAGATCCTGTCGCACTGGTGAACGTGAGTGTTGTTGCAGATCGACGAGTCGGGCTAGACGGCCGTTCTGTCTTGCACTTTATGTTGGGATTCAGAGCGGGCTTTCCAAAGGAGAACGCCTTCTCATTGTCGATATCAATGCCAGAAAAGAAGTCATCAGCGTCAGAAGGAATATGATGCATCTGACTCTTTTCCGCGTCAACATTCTCAGCTTGCGCAGTCTGTCGCTTCTGCAGAGAAGCACTAAAATCAAGCGGACCTTCGGGGATGATGAGACCGTCGAGGCCATCCTCTTCACTTTCTGCCGTGAGACAACTTGAAACGCTGGGGCTCGCGATGGAGATAGAAGAGCTGGGAACTGAACGACCATCCCTTGCGGTACCACCGACTCGTACACCGATACTTCCCTCAGACCACTCAAGATCAAATTCCTCCAAAGTGGGACTAGAAACGTAGAAATTCGCTTTTCGATGGGATAACTCGAGAGGTTGATGATTGGCGGGAAGTTCAAAATCCTGGTTGAAGTCGTCGTCTGCCTCCTGTTCAATATTGAAATCACTGCCAACATTGCCGAAGTCCAATGTTTTCGGTGATCGAGGGGATTTAAGGGTCGGGATATCTTGAGGTTCCAGACTACCATTGTCGTCTTGGAAGGTGTCAAATGGCCCCAAGGTAGATTGCAAACGCGTAGAGAATTCCTCATCCCAAGATGGCGAGGTAGTGGATTTCACTGGACTGGTAGCAGCGGAGCTCAAATGTCGAAGGGAGTCAGGAAACGTGGTCTCCTGCGGAGTTTTGAGCTGTAACAGAATTTCAGGACCCGGGAGCTCAACGTCTTCTGACCAGTCATCAACAAAAGTTTGTTTGGTCTTTCGAGTTGACAAGCGCTTGATCGTGCCCCCAATGAGAGCTGACTTGGGGATATCTGGAGGAATAGGAATGCCCGCAGTCTTGGCCGAGGCAATAGCATCTTCTTTTGCGAATTCATCATTGTCATAAAGCGGAACCTGCCAGTCTTCGTCGCCAGCATTAGATTCAATATCTGAGCGAGCAGAGCGTCGAGAGGAGATAGAATCTCGATGCCCAGAGGGCCGAAATGATGAGTTTGTTATAGACCCTGCGCTGGATGCGGTGCGAAAGTGAATATCCTCGCTGAACTGCAAGTCATCGTCATCATCCCAGCATTCAATCGGCTCGTCGGCCCCGGGTCGTAGGTGGATTTGTAAAGATTCCATGATCGGCGAAGCGAATTGGTTGAAGGTGTGAAAAGAACACAGTCATGAGATGATTACAGGCGTCCGGAAGCGTTTGTAATTAAGTGGCAGAATCAGTGCTTTGCGACACTGGTGAGGGTTCAGGGGGTGCGGACATGAGCGTCATTCCGTGTCAGTTGGTAGGGACAAAAGATAGGAGCACAGTTTCACTGTTGATCGTAGCGTGACGAGCTCGAATTTCGCAAGGCGTGGAAGAATCAGATCAATCTAGGCCGGCTTCGCTCAGAGTACGCCGAAGCGGGTTTACTAGGCGACCTGGTAAAAGGTCCTCAGCCATAAACATTCAGAAGAAGACACTTAAGCATTGGGGATACCCTAAAACACTTGATTCCGACCGCTGATATTCGGGGAAACTCAAGTAAAGGGTGTTTGTGAAAACGAAGAGAGGACAGGGGAAGAAAAGATGTGTTAGTTGTGGCTGAATCTCAAATTCCTCGTGGAGGAGAGGAAGAACGGGTACTGGTAATGTATCTAGGTAAGCAGTTTACCTGGATACATAGTATTTAGTGGAAATAGTCATACTTCTAGTGTATAATACGTATATAATACCAATATACTTACATGTCACATGTAATATAACATTCAATTCTCTTACGGTTTATAGGTTTATGTCTGTATCTTGCTATAGGTTTCATATGAAATGAGCTATATAGCTGAAATAGTAATCTACAAAAATTTCAAATTTATTTTCTGAACTATTACTGTTAAAAACGTAGTGAGTTTTACATTTACTCTTCTAATACGTGGAGACCCGGTATCTACTACCTTCCAACTAACCTCCCTCCTTAGATAGACCAATAGGTTCCACTTTCGGGAGTCCTGTTGCCTTGGGGTATGACTTTATGAACTAGTATTCTTTTTATTTTGAGAGACCTACTCTTTTGCTTTATTCCTTCCTCATCCTAACTCATCCTTAAATATGCCTCCCGTTTCAGACCGAATCTTGCGGTTTCCTAGATCTGATCAGGCTGGGGATTTTGTACTAGTCCATGTCTCATGTACCGGTCCTGCGCCGCTTGATCTGAGGTTGACAGCTACCGAGGGGGAGTCACCCTATATTAGTTTAGGTGGGTTGTTACAGAATGAAGTTTGGACACAAACTTATGCCGCGCAGTGAAACAAACACGTCTGAACGACCTTCAAGCCAAAAATTACCAAGGATCGGATGATGAATGGTTCAAAACTGTCTCTCTTGTTCTGGGACAATGTTCCACTCCTCCAGATGAGCCTGATTGGGCTACTGGAGTCGAAGCTTCGGCCAACATATCAGGCTCTGACGAAGACAACAAGGAAATTGTGATTACGATACGCAAGCGAGTCCAAACCATTACAGTTCGTGCTCCACGCCGGGTTATATCTATATTTTTACTAACGCTAATACATGCAGCAACGCCTTGGTGCTTTTAGCCTCCAGCAAAATGATGAACAAGCTGTCGAGCTTTTTGAATGGACAGGAATCGCTGCGGCTAGAGTCCATATGCTAGAGCAGCAAGTATCCAGCCTGACTGGCCGTCATCGCCTGGCCGAAGATGCCATGCATAGGTTGAATGAACAGCTTGAGGAGCTGATACATGCGAAGACTGAGCATGAGAATCGATTGGTGGCCAATTTTGTGCAGGTCTTGAACGAGAAAAAGCTTAAAATCCGCAACCAGCAACGTCTTCTAGCCTCAGCCACTGTGGATGCCACCAAAGGTAGGTAGCGCAGACAGAGAATCTTGAGTATCCCGATTGACTAAATATCGACAGTCTCCGAGGTACAAGCTAGCATTCCCGAAGAGTCACATGGAGCCGCCAAGGAGTCTCATTCAGCAAAGAGAAGTGCTCCCAAGACGAGCGATACCGAAGACTCTGATGGGTTCGAAGGAATGGATATTGATCAAATCAAGACCGATCGAGGTGCCTCCAATAATCAAGACACCAATGATGAGGAACGTTCGAGCCCTCATCCTTTAGACGGCGGACAAAACGATAGCACAACGGATGACGATTCGTCACAGGCTGAATCTGCCCAGCTGAAGCGGGTCTCCCCAGCGAGAGATATTGCGCCACCTCAAAGAGATTTGCCATTTGTCAAAAGAGCTATCAAGAGGACTGCTCCAACCCCGCCCAGCGAAGATGCCGAAGAAACTGCGGGAGAGACGGATGATGACGAGCTCTGAACTGACCAGCTAAAACAAGTCGGATAAATTACATAGTTCAACAGAGCAAAATAGGATTCCATTTTATAGTTATGCAGAAGACTACCCTGTCGACCTAGGAGCTTGGAGTTTCCCGTGACTCTTGGGCCTGTGGATATATGTACATATCCAAGCGACGTTGACTCCTCGGTATTGCAATACACCCGTAGATGGACAGCTCTGGTTTTATCTTTTGTTCTTTCTCCCTGTCATGCCCGTGTAGTTAGAGGAACATTCTTTTCCAAATAGTCACTTGTCTCGGTATAATTTCGCTTCCCGTAGGAATCCTCAACCGTACTATTCCTTCTAGAAGCTACAACACACCGAATTATAGAAGTAGCACATATTCATCATCTCCGACGCCCATGGACTCGAAATTTTGGGGGTTCAGTCTTTTATGTACAAGGCAACCACTACCGATTAATCCCAGGCGACACCGGAGAATGGCGAAGAGGTCAACAGGAACCGGAAGGGTGTTCAAGATGATAGGGAAAAACACAGAGGATGGAAAGGAAACAGTACATCAAGAGAAAATTTAAGATGTGGTACAATAAAAACGCCTGCAACCATTAGAGAAACACAGAATGAGGTCAGAATAGACCTGATCTAGCCATACAAAGCCTGAGGAGACATTTCTCCCGCGGCCATGAAGTTGGTCTCAGGGTTTCCGGTGGCCTTGGCAGCGGAGGCACGGGCCATGGTGGGCGAACTAAAGAAGAGTTAGCAATGTAAATCGATTAATGATAAATTATAACCGATGGAATAGGGTACTCGCCTTCTGGAGATAGCGTCAGTGAAGAAGAAGTCTTCAATCACCTTCTTGAAAGGAGCCCCAGTAGCTGGAGATCCCCTGTTCTGGTCCACAAGTTGGACCTTGCTCAAAGAGCCAACCGAGGTCGGCTCAACAACGTCGTAGTGACGCATGACAGGGCTGATCTCCTCCATGCGGTCACGAAGAGCCTCGATATCATCATAAGGAAGAGGAGCACCGAGGAACTCGCTAGTGGCACGGATGATCTTCCAGTCATCGCGAGCTGCACCGGGGAGAGAAGTGGCAGCACGGGTAACTTGCACACGACCTTCTGTGTTGATGTATGTACCTGACTTCTCAGTGTAAGCAGCGCCGGGGAGAACGACATCGGCAAGTTGAGCACCGCGATCACCATGGTGTCCCTGGTAGATGACAAACGCATCCTTCGGGATCTCGCTTTGGGCAATCTCATCTGCACCCAAAAGCCACATCATCTTGGGGATAGTCTGGGCAACCTGAGAAGATGGTGTAGTGAAGCCAACTTCATAGGCACCAGCCCGAGACGCCGCACGCTGGAGGACATTATAGCCCTGCCACTCAGGGGTGATGAAGTTGTTTGCATTCTTCTCAACGAAACCACCGACGGCCTCGAAGATAGCCTTGGCGTCAGGGTGCTCTGCAGCGGCGCTACCGACAATAATCATTGGCCGTTTGGCGCCAGCAAGCTTCTTCCCAAATTCTCCCGACAAAGCGGATTTCAAGGAAGAGATATCAGTGCCCAAATGGTTGTAGTCAAATGTGCTCTCAAACTCCTCGCCGACAAGCCCAACCTCAAGATCAGATCTAATATACTGCTTGCGGATACGGGCGTTAAGAACTGCGGCTTCGTGACGAGGGTTTGTTGCAACCAAAAGGATTGCATCTGCCTCCTCAATTCCATAGATCTTGGAGTTGAACAGGTAGTTAGAACGGACATCGATACCGTGAGCAATGGGGGCACCACCTCCAGGTTGATCCAGGGCAAGGTTGTCAGAGCCAAGCTTGTTTGCCAGGTCCTTCATGGCTACGAGCGATTCGGTATCAACCAAGTGCCCAGCAACAGCCTTGAACTCATTGGCCTGTGGCTGAAGCTTCTGGTGGGCCGATGAGATCTCTGTAAGAGCTTGTTCCCAAGTGGCGGGAACGAATTTGCCTTCCCGACGAATGAGGGGGGTTGTGAGCCGCTGGGTCTTCAACCCATCGCACGCGAACCGCGACTTGTCATTGATCCATTCCTCGTTAATATCGTCATTCAATCGCGGGACAACCCGCATCACTTCCAGACCTCTGCTATCAATCCGGATGTTAGAGCCAAGCGCGTCAAGGACATCGATCGACTCGGTGTGCTTGAGCTCCCACGGACGTGCTCGGAAAGCATAGGGCTTCGAAGTTAGTGCACCGACAGGGCAAAGGTCAATGACATTTCCCGAAAGCTCTGAGTTGAGGTTCTGCTCAAGGTAGGTTCCAATCTGCATGTCGTTTCCGCGACCAGCGGTCCCTAGTTCTGGTGCACCGGCGACGTCATTCATGAATCGGACACAACGAGTGCAGTGAATGCATCGATTCATTGAGGTCTTGACCAGTGGGCCGATGTTCTTATCCTCCACGGCACGCTTTCCACCGGTTTCATGGAATCGACCCCGATCGGCACCGTAACGCATCGACTGGTCTTGGAGATCACACTCTCCTCCTTGGTCACAGACAGGACAATCGAGAGGATGGTTGGCAAGAAGGAACTCCATGACACCTTCCCTTGCCTTGTGAACCAACGGCGAATTCGTCTTTACCACCATACCGGGTTGTACTGGCCAAGCACAGGAGGCCACGGGCTTTGGGGCACGTTCGACTTCGACGAGACACATACGACCTATAGATTCAGTAAGTAAACACGTCTCAATGGCGTGAAATTGGGGAATAGTATGGGTTGCACGTACAGTTGCCTGCAACCAAAAGTTTTCTTAAGGGACTGGTGTTAGCAAAAACAATATGTGAGATTCGATGACTGGCACATACTCGTGGTAACAATATCTAATGCATGTTAGTACTGCAAGCAAATTGTATTGGTGAAGTCTTGCCATACCTAGGAACCGTTGCGCCTGCCTTCTCACAGGCCTGGATAAGAGCCGAGCCAGCTTCAAGGAGAGAATGTGAGTGAAGGTACAATGAGTTATCTCGAGGGAGTATCTACCTTCTACTGACACCTTTTTGCCATCTATAGAAACGAGCCATCAGTTATCGATCAATTTAGATGGACTAGACCATGATAGGACTTACCAATGGTGAGTTCCACCTCGGCCGCGCGAGGGGCTGTCGTCGCGAAGGTCCGGGGTGTGACCTTAGGAACCCGGAGGGACCGGGCGGCCGCACGAAACAACTGCGGCCGCATTATTGGAAGGAGAACAGAGATATGAGGGTGGGGGGTAAGGTGGAGGAGGGCGAGGGGGTGAGATCCTGGTGACGGTTGGGAGTTCAGAGAGCACTTTGCATCGGAATCTGCGGTTCCAAGGTTACATAATGGAAGTGCTGACCATCACTTTGCTGACTAATGGAAACGGCAAATGGGCTCACGGGGATTGGCTCGATTGACTCGGTTAGGCGGATAAACTTTCCTTCCGGGTTTCTTTATAAGCCACTGTTTCTCCCCCATTTTCCCCTTTTCCCTTCTTCAATTAAATTGTTACGGGCATCATTTATTGTAGGAGGCAGGCAGTTTCCCTTTTCCTATCTCCTCTACAGCATGTCCCAAGAGCAGATTTGCACCGTAGCTGGAGCTGTCAAGGGTTCGCCTAATGATGACTTTGTTCCTTACCAACGGTAGCTACATCATTCTCCTGGTATATAATTATATACACTTGCAATGCAATTTTTCTACCTTGCTTCACATTCTGTATTGGTAGATTGTATATCTATTGAAACCTTGGGTACTGGTTTGGACTCTAGTGTATCATCTACGCAGCTACAGTGCGTATCGGTAGCTCGGAAGAATGCCCAGGAGCTCTCTACACGTCTTAGACAGGCACAGGGGAAAGTATAGTAATGCAAAAAGCTCTTTGAGCAACACCGCGCTGCCATGATATTGTACACCGAACTAAGAAGATACAAATGCTAGGCTGCAGCTTGAGAATCACTAACCTGCCAAGTGGATTCTTGTTTGGTCCCTGGTAACCAAGTACGAGAAACACTGGCTCCCCTTGGGCGAACATGCCCGGGTCCGTCATCTTCTTTCTTGGAATTGTTTGCTGCTACGTGGGGGTTGCTGGAGGCACCTTCAAAGGTTCTCCCGGCCGGGAAGGCATAACCATTAGAATCCCATGGCTTGCTTGAGTGCCGCACATTCATTGGAAGAATGGACTGTTCGGCACGGAAATGATCCGTGTTTGCCTTTTGGTCAGCTACATCGTCATGGCTATTGCGATCGTAAAGGTAAAGACCCACGAAAGTGAGCCCAATGCCAAATGCTTGAATCGAGGTGGTCGAGCTTCCAAACCATATAATGGCAACCACGATCACAAACACACGCTTGACCAATGATGCAACCGAGTAGGATACGGGAGAAACCATTGACAGCAACACAAAGGCCAAAATGTTTTGGGCAAAGTGTGAGATTCCGTTGAACACAAACTCCATGGAAAGAGCACCGTGGTCCAACGAGCCTTGCTTACCCGATAGTGAGATCACGCCATCATGAATGAAATCAGATACTAGGGGGTAACCCTCGGTGACAAACCAAATAGGCAGAGTGAGGAAAAAAGCTAGCCCGGAGCAATAGCAAAGCAAATTGAGTTTGTCCAACTTCCGCCGCCCTGGGATTTGCAAATCTGCTTCCGCGCGGTCTACCTCGTTGAATAGCTTCTTCGAGAATATGTTCTGCGAGACAAACACAACAGCTGCACCAAATGCGCAAAATATACCGAAGAAGTTTGTAGACACTCCGGTCGAGCAAGCAAGCATTACACCCAGAGTCAGAGGGATCAGCGATAAATACGTTGCGCGCGCATATCGAATGCGAAACAGGAACCGGTATGCTAGAACTGTGAAGAGAGGTGAAAGGCCCTTGATGGTGTGGACCAGAGATACGGGAATTTGCGCAGTGGCCATGGAGCTCAGAATGTGACCAGCCAATTGAAATACAGCCAAGGGTAAGGCTGTGGAAATCACGTCGCGGGATGGGTAGCGAATTCCATGTTGAAGGATTGGGACGCTTCGTCGCAACCAAGGTATAACCGTGGAGAGATACACCAATACCAAGCACCAAAAGGAGACAAATGCAAATTGAATCATCGTCAATGTGATCGGCATTGGAAGGGCGTTCAATATCGATTTCGAGGATGTGTTTGTCAGGGCAGAGGTTAGATACCAAATGACACAGAGAGCCTTGAGATGATGTGTTAGCGGCCTCATTGAAGAGTCTCTACTAGGTGTGCATTTCTCAGGATGCGAATCAACATACAATGAGTCGGTAAGAGACTGGGGCGCGAAGTGCTTCGGCCAATTCATGAGCATTGGCACTCATACTGCCATTGCGTGTTCTGATTGTTGTGATAGCTTCGCTGATGCTCTTTCGTGGGCGGTGTTTCGGATTCCGTAATGTTCCGTTCCCATACTCTCGCGAGTAAAGGCTTGCTTTCCGGGGTTCCCAAAGCTCGTTCGGGGCATATTTCACCGAGGCGCTTCGGTTTGAACGGGTTGACCCCGCGACAGTGTCGACGGTGTCTTCGTAAGGTGGGAATTTGTCTATCGGACTGCTCATTTGAGGAACGGAGGATTTGGTTGGGATTGTCAATTCGCTCTGTCGCATGGAGGCGCGTCGCCCATGACCGGTTACTGTGGTTGTAGCCATCTTCCACGACCCGGAATGTCTAGACTATCTTCAGAGACGTCAATTCCCCGGACCCCGAAAAGAACCCGCGCTTGGTGTCACTTACCCAAGAAGGGCGAGGAAGAAGCTGCGGAGAGACAATCTGCTCAATAATTTCCGGTGAGGATATGTGTCTTCACTAATTAAAGGAAAAAGGGCGGGTTGGTTCGCCGGTTTGTCGATGACGAATCTCCTTGGGCGAATGAGCGTCGAGTATAGAGACACACACGCTTTCGGCGAAGCCAAGCGACGAATTGATATATGAATATATACCTGATACCTGATACCTAGGCGAAACAAAGGAATTGTTGGGAAAATATAAGTCGGAGAGATATCCACTCCAATAAATTGAAATCAACGCGACCACGGATATGCAATTTGATTTCCCATGTACTCCGTACCGCCACTTTACATTACGGGATATGTCTGATAGAAATATATCTAGAGTATCAACCGCGTATTATTCTAATTATCTAGTGTTTTCTACTTTTTATATATATATTGTTTTTGTTTTATTTTTTAAATTAAAAAAATATTGCCCTTTTCTATAATAAGAAATGTTCCTCCGTCTTCGTATGGCTCTTTTGTATTACGCGTCATCTGGGTCACGTGACATGGACCCTGATCTGCATGCAAAATGTCTTGGCTTTGGGAAGTCTGGGAAGCTTAGGGCGAAAGGTACGAAGTGATTGGTCTAATAAATCTATATACAGGTACTTATGCAGCGTCTGTTCTTGTAAGAGGTTAATAACATGATATTTTTGATACATGATGATATTTATGGGATTAGGGTTATATTTAAGCTATATTATCGTCTTTTACACACCTGGTATAAATCTCAGGCTATTGATTTGATATTAGAATCCTATATACATCCCTATACATACATATTTACCTATATGAATATGTACCATGAAAATAGACAACTATGCCTAATTGGGTAAGTCCATAGGGAAGTATACAAGGTTCTGTTCTGACTCTGCTCCTTCCTCTTGTCTCTTGTTTCCTCGTTCCCTGTCCCTCTTCCATCCCGCATCTCAACTTCTTCTATCTTCCAGTCTAAATCTCGTATCACCACTCAACTTCTTCATTTCCAAAAGTTCCCTTATGTTTACCATCATCTCGCAAGAATCTGCTCGGAATCCTTTTCGTTGCATGTAAACTCACTTGGTTTCCAACGAGCCTGTTTGTCCCAACCTTCACCCAGCAACTTGATTACTCTTTTTTTTTCCCTTTTCTTTTTCTCTCTCTCTATCTCTGGCCTTTTTTTTCCTGTTTCACTTTTAATCTCTTCTAGCTGAGAATATGTCTACCTTAAGCGGACCTTCATCACTTGGTCGCATGGGTAACGGAGGACGTTATACCTCCAATGATGGCATTGACGTGCGAAATATATCTTTTGGACATGAATCCTCGGTATGACTTCTTGAGTGGCAACCCTTGAACCAAATTCTATACTAACCACATTGGCTGCAGCAGAGCCCTCAGAACTCGATCGCTCATTACGGCTCCTCCGATGTGGCTGAAACATCCCGACATGGAAAATTGCAGGTCTCGTCTGGCGAAGGGGCCGAGCACTCATCGGGTAAGGTGTGTGTTTCCTGTGGTATTGATTCACGTATGTGTACGTGTTTGATCTCACAATCCCAGAAGCAGAAGCTAGATCATATCAAAGTTGAACCTTTGAACGGACAAAGGTCGGATCTTGACAGAATACTGGCAAAAATTTCTCCCAGAACAATCCCCCTTCAACGATCTGAAACTGATCGCTCTTCTGCTTCGTCTCAGACAACTCCGGCCACAACGGTGCCAGCTTTAACCCTAACTGAAACCACCCAGCCCTACCCCCAGGAAGACAGAACGGTAGAGCTTCTTCGCCTTAAGCAGGAGCTCCTTGCTGCAAATTCCAAGATTGCCCTGCAGGAGCAAGAGCTTGCCCAAACCCGCGTGATAAAACATACTTTGGATCAGACCATCGGTCCGTCATCAGAGGTAGATTTCGGCAACCGCGAAATTACAGAGCAGACCATCAGTCACCTGCAGAATGCTTTCAACGCATCTAGCTCTGCATTCAGTCAGTTTCAAGAGGTGTGGGGTGCTCAAGACGATTCGCAATCTGATGTCTCGGATCCACTGTCTACAGGAGCTTACAACAGATCTCGCGGGCTCTGGGTCCAGAACAATCCTGCCACTGATAGAGAATACGGAGAGAGCCTTTCAGGTACCAGCAGCTCTACAAGTCAGGACCCAAATCGGTTCTGGGGACTCTCTAATGTGTATCCTCCGTTTGCCGGTCCACCATCCCTGCAATCACAAAGGGCACATTCGGGGACCTCAGCTAGTCCATGTGGATTCTACTCACGTCCCATCGGGGAGCAGATGTTGTATCCTCCAGGACCCATCACCGGCGCTCGTCGCTCTAATACTCAAAGCAGTAGGGGTGGATCTCTATTCCCAATTCAGTCTACTCCTTGGGGTGAATTTGCTTCTGGGTCCTCTAGTGAGCAGACTCCCAAGCCACCTGCTTCGCCGAAGAGACCTCCAAGCGCCTTTCAACAGGTCGGGCTTTACTCTGTACCCTCTTACTCCCATCGACCGATTGGGAGCCCCTTATCACCTACTGCTGCCGAGTTTACAGGTATCAGCACGAATGAAGCCACTTGGACCAACTCGGTAATGGATAACTGTGTGTGCTGTGCTTGCATTCATTCTAACTCTTATCAGATGAGCGGCAATTCCATCCAGACGTACGTGTCACCACTCGAACCACTCAATTACCGACGACTGCTTGACAAGAATGTGTCGTGTGACTGGAAGTACATTGTAGACAAGATCATCTGCAACAATGACCAGCAAGCTTCCATATTCTTACAGCAAAAACTCAAAGTTGGCACAACTGAGCAAAAATACGACATAATCGAGTCAATTGTGCATCAGGCCTACCCTCTCATGGTCAACCGCTTTGGAAACTTCCTCATACAACGCTGTTTTGAACATGGAACCCCGGAGCAAGTCGTCGCCATCGCCAATGCGATCAGAGGCAACACGCTAAACCTCAGCATGGATGCATTTGGCTGCCACGTGGTCCAAAAGGCGTTTGACTGCGTTTCAGAGGAGCATAAAGCGATCATGGTACATGAACTTCTCCGCAGAATTCCTGAGACGGTGGTCCACCGATATGCGTGCCATGTTTGGCAGAAACTCTTTGAGCTCCGATGGAGTGGTGAGCCTCCACAGGTGATGGCTAAAGTGAATGAAGCATTACGCGGTATGTGGCATGAGGTTGCCCTTGGAGAGACAGGAAGTCTTGTCGTTCAGAACATCTTTGAGAATTGTGTGGAGGATGAAAAGGTGAGATTCCCCGTCACCCCGAGCTGCTAAAATGCATCGACCCTCTTCTCTCGCTGTACTAGCTCTCTGTTTGGTTCTTTATAATGATCATACTAATGCTAATATTTTGAAGCGACCGGCAATTGAAGAAGTACTGGCGAAGATCGACGTTCTCGCTCATGGTCAATTCGGAAATTGGTGCATCCAACACATCTGCGAGCATGGTGCTCCCCATGACAAGAGCCGTGCTGTTGAGCATGTTCTTCGCTGGGCCGTGGATTACAGCATGGACCAATTCGCATCTAAAATTGTGGAAAAATGCCTTAAGATTGGCGGCACGGAGTTTATGGACCGTTATCTCTCTCGTGTCTGCACTGGCCGATCTGACCGACCTCGTATGCCATTGATCGATAGTAAGTTACCGAGGCTTTAACACAATGAGAAGGTACTGATTCTTTTTTATAGTAGCAGGTGATCAGTACGGTAACTATCTCATCCAATGGATTTTGATGAATGCCGCGCCTCATCAACGAGAGCTCGTGGCCAGTCACATTCGGTACCACTCCCTGACAGTTTTCACTTTCTACTTCGAGTGGGTTGAATTCTAACATGATTTAATTAGGAAACATATGGTCTCCCTTCGTGGCTCCAAATTCGGCTCTCGTGTGGCTATGCTCTGCTGCAACCCGTCTCATGCTACGCGCCCTGGTCCTGGGGCTGGAATGCAAATTGGCCGTTTCAATAATTTCAACGAAGACAAATTTACCACGAACCAGTCCGGTGGTCGTTTCGCCCGTGGACATCAATGGGGACCTAATTATGCGCCACTTCGCTGAGCCTGTGTCTTGATACTTCAAATTCATTCTTATCGCCCAAAAAAGAAAAAAAAAAAGGAACACCAGAACCAATTACAAAGAAAAAGCATCACTTGAGCATTTCACTCCCTCTTCTTCCAGGCAGACAGTCTGTCTTTGTTCATCAATATCTGTTGGCCCGATCATTTCTGTGCTTCAATATTGCGAGTTTGCTTGCCGATTTATTCATTTGGCTCGCTATCCCGTGGTTATCATTTCATTCAATCGTACAGATTGAGGCTTACAGCATGTCACCTTAATTTTTCTTAGGAAAGCCATATTGTTATTATCCAAATTCTATCCCATTCAAATATATAATCCATCATGAATCTCACGTGGGCAGAATATAATCTCAGGGAGCAGTGCTTGCAGTCTCATCGGAAGTAGTCACTGCTTCATCTTTCTCCCATGGTTTCCGTCGCCGTGGTTTCTCGCTGGAAATATCATGACCACTGAGCACTGTGTCCGGGATATCCTGGATTCCAGGTATTGGTTGCCCCGTAGTAATGAGTTCCACAATGTGCGCAAACGATGACGGATACGCAGGTTCAGGATTTGTTGAACCCTCGGCGCCAGATGTGCTTGGGTCCGATGCCTCGGAGGTTTGCAGGTCTTTATTATTGCCTAGCCCTTGGGGTTCCGTTGTCCGCGATACCAACCATGATTTAAAGGCAGCGAAGTCAATAGTCGGGGTAATATTTTCTTTTCTATACTCTCAGATTAGGACACAAACTATTCTATGCAGGCATTCCTAGCATACCGCGAGAAAAAAAAACACTTTGCTTGCAGGACAAGGTCGTCATCCCGGTTCATCTCCACCTCGGTGGCGGGGGTGTCAGGGTGACCAAGTATGATTGAGAGGCCATTTGCAAATTCGGGGTCGGATGTGAAGGAATAAGATTGTAGTCTTTCAAAGACTCCAGTTTCTGAAGGCTGCGCCATTGATGAAGAATACTGAGGTCTGGGATGCGGAGGATGCGGAGGATGCGGAGGATGGCGTGGGGCAATCTAACTAGCCGAGGCTCATGCGTTCTCCAAATTATTTACTCTGCATATTTTGACACTTTTTTTTTGAAGCCATTTATCTTCTCAAATATAAAGCCACCTATAACTCGCGAGAAAAATCGTAATTTTGTATATAAAGACGCCCGAACCCCCTCGTGCTACCTTTCCGCCTGTGAACATAAAAATCTAGGGATATCTTGCAACGCCAAACCATGTAATATTGGGACAATTCCACCTAGACCGTGATATGCATTGCACCTGACCTTGAAGTGGCTGCTCCAGAGTGCAAGGGTGTGCTTTTACTTTGACAGCCGGGACAGTTGTGCACAACTTCATGAGCAAAGAGATCACAGTCGATACAGAAGTGGTTACGGCACGCGGTACACTCATAGCGACTGCTTACGCTCATTCCTTTGGTCTGGTTCTCTGCCACTTGCCAGTGATCTTCCAAAGGCACGGATGGAAAAGAAAGACCACAGGCAAAGCAGGCAGAACTTCGCGAGGCTCGACGCCACGGCACCTCGACCCAGTTGATTAAGGGAAATAGATGATGATATGATCGTGCCAGATGAGTTGAAAGGATCAATGTGAGCCCACAAGATGGGCATTCAGCAGGAAGACTACACACTTTGCTGTTGCATCGTGAGCAAAGATAGCCTCCTCGTGAGGGCTTTGAATGGCATGCGCAGAGCGATGGGCTGGACTCCACTGTACGAGAAGGGAACCCCATCATCAGCAATGAGCTTGCAGATTCTTTCTGTGAGTAGGCAGCTGGGGGTGTAGTCACGTCCATCATCAGCTCTCGAAAGTGCTGCTCATTCAGTGCTACGCCATATGCTGTTTCATCACCACCGTTGGTCTTTGTACAAAGTTCCCGGCAAATTGCAACTTGCGCTGCGAGTCCCACGATACCAATCCGGATTTTGTCGTTGATCAGGGCATCTATCGTTTGGTGGATGTCTCCAGGATCGGAGGAAAGGAGGGAACCATATATAAATAGCACTTCTCGGGTGCCATGGCTAGGTGTATGGCTAAATTCACTGGTTAGTTTCGGGCAAATTTTCCCAGGCAATTTAGCCAGTATAAAGACATACAAAAGAGCACCACGTGCCATCTCCAATCCGTTTTGAAGACTAGGCAAACCTTTCGGTTCTTGTGTTTTGAGGGCTTGGATGGCTGTGAGGTGTTCTGTTGGATTACCACTCATATCACTGACTCGGAGCGCAAGGCCATCTCTCAGGCCGAGAACACCGAGCTGGGAAATGGGATTTTGTTCAAAGAATTCTCTCACGAATTCCTGAGCATACCGGAGAGTCAACAAGTATCTCGTGGGTCGCAAGTCCTTCTCGGACATCGATTGTGATAGATCGAGAATTAGGATGAGATGTCGAATGATACCACGTTGTAGTGGTGTGGTATCTTTCAAGAGCCTGGGCGATACACTTCAGTAAGGATATATGAGCGCTGTAAGAGGAATGGTCTGACCTTTTTCGTTTTCCAGCCTCTAGCAGACCTTCGACAGTCGAGTTGATGGTACCATCTGCACCCTCCACCAATGTCTCCCATGTTCTGGATAGCTCCCATTCTGCACCACCGCGCTGCTTTCTTTTGGCTCGCGGATTATCGCCCCGAGTCACCTGTAAATCATCTTCGTCTTCTGTTACATCCCCCACATATTCTTCGTCGGAGTCGGCCATGTTCGTAGATAAGAGTGGAGAGAGACAGACAGAGAGAGAGAGGATCTAAGCGGAAGACTGAAAATGGTCCAAGCTTCCGACGGAGCTCCGTTGGAGAATATCCTCCCTCTCTCCTCTTTCACTGAGTCGCAAAGTCGCAATCTCTTTCAAACTATATATATAATTATATAATTATATATTTTCAAATAGCTCCGACGATAGCCGTAGACGGTTAAGCTATAAATTCACCCCCCAATGTGGGGAAGAAGATTCATTCGAGCTGGTGTAGCAGTTCAAATCCGTCCAGTCACTGTCCGCCCTGCCCCTCCTCTTCTTTCTCGCACACTGCACCAACTTTCTCTTTTGCATTCTCCTCGACCGCGACCTCGCCTGCCTACACCCACTTTGTTATATCTGAAGTCCCCTCCAATTAGGCATTGTTCCGCCGAAGTCCGCATGATGGCGTCTCAAGAGCGAGAGACTCTTCCTGACGTGTAAGTGATGCCCCGCTTAGGTTATTCTGTTTCTTTTTTTTTTTTCTTTGCGTTCCCACTTTTGAGTCACTTTCTTTCTAGTCCCCAACATTGGAAACTGACATGACAATAGAGCTAAGCCTATCAACTACCATGTCTCTCTTTTCGACTTGCAGTTCGGTGGTTCATGGGAATACAAGGGTGCTTTGCAGATTGATCTCAGTGTGTCCCGTGCTACTAGCGAGATTGTGCTGAACTCGAAGGAGATCGAAGTTCAAAATGCTGAGATATTGGGGAAAGACGGTACGTGTGGGAGCATATTGGTTATGATATGGGGTAAAAGACTAATACCGGTTTTCTTACCATAGGGAGCCAATTGGCCAAAGCAACCCAAATAACCTATGACAAGCAATCGGAGCGAGTTTCCCTTGTTTTCTCGCAAGAGATCGCGCCGGCAGATGTTGTGCTTTCCATCAACTTTACGGGTACCATGAACAATGCCATGGCCGGCTTCTACCGCTCGAAGTATAAGCCCGTTGGTGAGCCGTCTGCCGACACCCCCAAGGAGGATGAATTTTACTATATGCTAAGCACTCAATTTGAGTCTTGCGATGCGCGAAGGGCTTTCCCTTGCTTCGATGAGCCCAACTTGAAATCAACCTTCGATTTCGAGATTGAAGTCCCCAAGGGACAGACTGCACTGAGTAACATGCCTATTCAATCCGAAAGAGACGGAAACAAACCAGGTTTGAAGTTTGTCACATTCGAGAAGACGCCGGTTATGAGCACCTATCTTCTGGCCTGGGCAGTTGGTGACTTCGAATACGTTGAGGCTATGACAGAGCGAAAATACCAGGGAAAGAGTATTCCTGTTCGAGTTTACACCACGCGAGGCCTTAAAGACCAGGCTCGCTTTGCACTAGAATGTGCTCACCGCACCGTTGACTATTTCTCGGAAGTCTTTGAAATTGAATATCCCCTCCCCAAGGCTGATCTCCTGGCTGTTCACGAATTTGTGAGTAACCACTTATTCCCTATGAGTTCCAAGCTTTTTATTTGAGCTAATTTCGGATCTCTAGGCCATGGGGGCCATGGAGAACTGGGGTCTTGTGACCTATCGAACGACCGCTGTTCTCTTCGACGAAGGAACTTCCGACAACCGCTACAAGAACCGCATTGCTTATGTTGTAGCTCATGGTTAGTCCCTATATTCGATCTCTGGGTGCCGGCGCCAGGATTGATTTGATGACTGACTCACTTTACAGAGCTGGCTCACCAGTGGTTTGGCAATCTCGTCACCATGGACTGGTGGAATGAGTTGTGGCTGAATGAGGGATTTGCAACCTGGGTCGGTTGGCTTGCTGTGGATCATTTCTATCCTGGTGAGATTTGTTCTCTTCTGGTTGAGGAACATCCGACACAGTATCTAATGTGCAAGCAGAGTGGAACGTCTGGTCTCAGTTTGTCGTACGGAATGCCCGAGGTAATATCCGCTGTCCCAAAACCAATATTAACGTTCTTTCAGGCTGAAGGTGTGCAACAAGCATTCCACCTTGACTCGCTCCGCGCTTCCCACCCCATCGAAGTTCCCGTTCGGAATGCCCTCGAAGTCGACCAAATTTTCGACCATATCAGCTACCTGAAGGGAAGCTCCGTCATTCGCATGCTGAGTGTTCACCTTGGTAGAGAGACTTTCTTGCGAGGAGTTGCGGACTACCTTAAGTCTCACGCATATGGTAAGGTATCAAACAAGAATATGAGTAACATTTGCTGAGTGGTCATAGGAAATGCAACCACAAATGACCTGTGGTCTGCCTTGAGCAAAGCCTCCGGTCAGGACGTGCATTCCTTTATGGTAAGTAAATATTGACTCTTTGTTTGGTCAGCCCAATATCTAACTGATCTGCACTAGGATCCCTGGATTCGTAAGATCGGTTTCCCGGTCGTTACCGTGACAGAAGAGCCTGGCCAAATTACCGTTAGCCAGAATAGATTCTTGTCTACCGGCGATGCGAAGCCAGAGGAAAACGAGACCAAATGGTGGATTCCCCTCGGCATCAAATCCGGACCGAAGCTGGCGACTGTTGACACCCGTGCGCTCACCGCAAAATCTGATACTGTTGGAGGAATTGGGCAGGACGGTTTTTACAAGATCAACAAGGACCTGTCTGGGTTCTATCGAACCAACTATCCTCCCATGCATCTGGCAAAGTTGGGTCAGTCGCTTGATCTCCTGAGCACCGAGGACAAAATCGGTTTGCTGGGTGATGCAGCTGCCCTTGCAGTCTCTGGTGAGGGCACTACACCTGCCTTGTTGACTCTGTTGGAAGGATTCAAGGAGGAACAAAATTATCTGTGAGCAACGTCTCCTTCTAGTTCTTTGCTGTCATCTCTGACCTCTTATTCTGCAGTGTTTGGTCCCAAATCTCTGCGTCCCTGGCGAACCTTCGGTCGGTTTTCTCCCAAAACGAGAAAGTGGCCGAGGGATTGAAACACTTTACCCTTAAACTGGCTTCCCCCGCGGCGGAGCGGATTGGCTGGGAGTTCAAGCCCGACGAGGACTACCTCATTGTGCAGCTTCGGAAGCTGCTCATTGCAATGGCCTGTAACGCGGGTCATGAAGGGTGAGTTCTTTTTCCCTCGTCTTCGATTGTTGGACATTTTCTAATACTGTCTCGAAATTTTATAGATTTGTCTCGGAGGCCAAGCGCCGTTTCGATCTCTGGGCGACCGGAAAAGATACCAGTGTCATTCATACTAATCTACGGTCAGTGATTTTCAGCGTCAATGTGTCGGAGGGCGGCCGTAAGGAGTACGATGCCGTTAAGGAGGAGTATCTCCGAACCGACTCTGTGGATGGAAAAGAGATTTGTCTGTCTGCACTTGGACGCACGAAGGATGCGGCTCTGGTAAAGGACTACTTGAACTTCGTGTTTTCGGATAAGGTGGCTATTCAGGACATCCACAGCGGTGCCGTATCTCTGGCCGCCAACTCGAAGGTCCGCCATTTGCTATGGCAGTATATCAAGGATAACTGGACTGCCGTGGAAACCCGATTGTCATTTAACAACGTTGTGTTTGAACGCTTTGTCCGTATGGGTCTATCAAAGTTTGCCGATCACCAGATCAGTGACGACATTGCGGACTTCTTCAAGGACAAGGAAACGGGGGCCTATGACCGTGCACTTGTGATTGTTTCAGACAACATTCGAACCAATGCATCCTACAAGGAGCGCGAGGAGGCGTTGGTTCTCGAATGGCTGCAGGCACATGGTTACGCGTAAGTACCTTAATTTTTGACAATTTATTTGTTCAAACTCTTTGGTTTTCATACAATGTAAAAGGGGGTTTCTAGATTTAGATCATTGGTCAGATGGGTAATATACCCACGAGGCTGAGTTTATGCACGGGAGAACAGTTGAGCAGGTGATTTCGATGAGAAGTGGAATCAAGTATAAAACGCTCGTGATATAGATGTAAAAAGAGAATCCAAAAAAAAGGTATAGAATACATGTATGTATCGAATATAGAAAATATAGAAAATCCGAGTGGTTTGTGACGTGAAACAAAGCTGCGCATCAGGTGCGTCTGCCTCCCTGCACCTCCTATCATTTCAGGCGACTGTTCCATCATTGTCCCCTCCCCCGACTTCCTAGGAACTTCGACTCCATCTTGTTTTTTTTTTTACCTTTCTTATATTCCTCTGGACTCGTGTGTACTCTATCTCTTCATTTCAACTTCTCCGCCTCCCAAGTTTCATCATGAATCCCGAGTAGTAAGCCTTCCCTATCTCCCATCCCCCTCAAATTCCCTTTTATGCGCCCTACTTTGGTCCGCTATATTAGTCTACTCGTGTGTTGGATTTGACTAATGTGATTTTGATTTCTAGAGTATCGTCGCGTCACTGATTTGATCGTTACCCGACCCAGCTCGCCAAACTTGCCGATCTCCGTTGCCTAACAATCGAGATAGATACGATTACCTTTTCAAGCTGCTCCTCATCGGTGACTCCGGTGTTGGAAAGTCTTGCTTGCTGCTTCGTTTTGCCGATGATACCTACACCGAAAGCTACATCTCGACAATCGGTGTTGACTTCGTACGTCTCGGAATCGACAGGATATTTGGCCGCAAGAGAATAGCGGTGCTGACGGGTCATCATAGAAAATCCGCACAATCGAACTCGATGGCAAGACCGTGAAACTTCAAATTGTATGGGTATATTGAATATCCAACACTTGAAGCGAAACTAATAATACATACAGTGGGACACTGCCGGCCAGGAGCGATTCCGTACCATCACATCTTCTTACTACCGGGGAGCTCATGGAATTTGCGTGGTTTACGATGTCACTGACATGGATTCCTTCAACAACGTGAAGCAGTGGCTCCAGGAGATTGACCGGTACGCTACCGAGGGTGTTAACAAGCTGCTCGTTGGAAACAAGAGTGATATGGAGGACAAGAAGGTCGTGGAATACACCGTTGCCAAGGTATGTCTACAGACTCACGTTGGGACGATGAGAAGAAAGCCAGCCTATTAACATGTCTTGATTGCACTTTTATAGGAGTTTGCCGACAGTCTCGGAATTCCTTTCCTCGAGACTTCGGCTAAGAACGCTTCGAATGTTGAGCAGGCATTCTTGACAATGGCACGGCAGATCAAGGAACGCATGGGAACGGCCACTGTCAACAACAAGCCGACCGTGCAGGTTGGCCAAGGCCAGGGTGTCCAGTCTGGATCGGCAGGTGGCTGCTGCTAAACGACACGATGTTCTCTTTGTGTGGTGCGGTGCTTCACTTTGGCGCAATGTTACATCATGAATTCAAGGGTTCCAAGCGGCGTGATATTTAATCGGCAGAAGTCAGGCTTGCTATGCCCTTTGGAAACTCGGCATGTTCCTGACGGGCAAGAAGATTCTCCACGGAGCTGGCAATCGTTATGATGCGGTTGGGGATCTCTTTTTCTTGCCTTGGATTCGCCTTAGACGACCTGCGTTCTATTCTCGTTCTGCGTTTGCTTATGCGATTACCGCCGGTTTCGTTTCTGCGTTCCTATGATTTCCTGGCCACGTCTCTGCTCTATTACCTTGGTCCATCATTCTCTCTGTGTCTTCCCCCCCCTCTTTCACCTTTTTATTCTCTATTTTCGCTTTTTTTTTTCTGTAGGTTGGATTTCTCTCTTGTGAATGGACTAATAGCGAGAACTTTGTGACTTCTCGAGGCATGTTGCCTCGCATGGGGCTACTTTCTTTTTCCGTTCCTTTCTAGTAAACTAGTGCGTTGTACTTTGTAGATTGCCCCTGAGTTAAATATAAAACTTATGCGTTGTCAAGGTATCTAGGAAGATATATAATCACATGCAAATCACAGGCACTTCAAACAATAGATCATCAGCACTTAAGATACCTAGGTAGTCCGAAGATATAATTTAAAATTCCGAAATTTCGCGAATGTGAAACATTCAAGTCACTTAGCATGCAGGTACCGAGGATATAAAGAAATCAGATCAAATCAAATCAAATCAAATCAAATCCTGAAAATAATCTCTGAACAAGGGGAATATGCGGGCGTTTCGGAATGCAGTGGAGTTGGGAGCCGAGGCACACCAGCACTTCGGTAAAACGTCATGAACATCCCATTCCCCCTTCAAGCCGACAGTCATTTTCGATGATCTTAAGTTCTAAACATTTTTAAGATATATTTCATCTTCTTCCTCTTTATAGGTCACACGTCACACCTGACAGTTCAATAATCCATTATGTCTCAAGGAGCCGATCAGAGAAACGCAGCATCTGCTGCTGTTCAGCAGAGTGATAACATCGCGCACGCGCTGGCGGGTGCGGGAGGTGGTGTTTTGTCGATGGTCTTGACGTATGCTTCCCCGCGTTTTCCCCATCGCTACCGCTAACCCCATACCCACTCTAGATACCCTTTGATCACTTTGTCGACAAGAGCCCAAGTCGAGTCGAAACGTGCGCACTCGACCACTCTTGACGCCGTACGCCGTATTGTACAGAGAGAAGGTATCTCCGGACTATACTCCGGCCTGGAATCAGCGTTGTTTGGAATCAGCGTCACCAATTTTGTGTATTATTATTGGTATGAATTCACGCGTTCAGCCCTGGAGAAGGCCGCCCTCCAGGGAGGCCGAGCCTCGAAAAAGCTCACGACGGTGGAGTCTATGATTGCGGGTGCTATTGCAGGGAGTGCCACAGTGCTGATCACCAACCCGATCTGGGTCATCAACACTCGCATGACTGCCCGCAAGTCTGAGGCGGAGGAAACATTGCCTGGTGCTAAGAAAACGAAGGCATCCACCCTCAGCACCCTAATGGACCTCCTCCAGCAGGAGGGCCCCAAAGCCCTATTTGCCGGCGTCCTCCCGGCGTTGGTCCTGGTAATCAACCCAATTTTGCAATACACTATCTTTGAGCAATTGAAAAACGTGGTGGAGCGCCGCCGGCGTATGACCCCGAAGGATGCGTTCTACTTAGGTGCACTGGGCAAAATCTTGGCCACTAGCCTCACCTACCCATATATCACCATCAAGAGCCGAGCGCATGTTGCCAGCAGGGATGGCCCCAAGGAGAGCTTGAACGGAAGCCTGAAGAGGATCATTCAGGAAGAGGGCTGGAAGGGACTGTACAAGGGTAAGCATTTTCTTCGAAAGTCATACCTGGCTGTTCACTAACATATTTTCCTTAAGGTATTGGGCCGAAGGTTACCCAGAGCGCCATCACTGCTGCATTCCTATTTGCGTTTAAGGATGTGCTATATGATATGATGGTATCTGCCCGTAGAAAGGGCCGCATCGCTAAATAGATGGGGCAATTATTTCCAAGTCTACCAGACATATGTGACAACTCATATGGTCACGCTTTCTGGGGAGACAGGGTCGGAACCCTCAAATGTTCACTATGTATACTTGTTCGAGTTCGATGGCTTGGTGAAAGCTCTCAAAGTTCTCGAAGATTTCGGGGACTCTTTTCAAAGTGATACCCAGGTACCCTACAAATCTGTAGATTAATTAATTAAATTGAAATTACTTTACATCTTCACACATCAATTCTATATTCATTGAAGACTCTTATAGTTACAAAAAAGGTCCATAGTTCAAATCTGACCGCCTTACCTTGGTTCACCGCCCATCGCCGCTCTTACCCGCGTTATCGCGTTCTTGACGCGATTCTGCTCCATTTCTCCACACTTTCTCCTGTATCTTCTGCAATCTGGACAATTTTCAGTTCGGGCACTGATTTCACTCTGTCTCTCAATCTGTATTTGGGGATTCTACACATATTTCTCTCAGGTATACTTCTCTCGGTTCGTTTACATGGGAAAACTCCTAATGCGTGGTAGATCCAAGCTTGCCTGTCCATTGTCGCACCGCATAGCATCACCCTTGTGACCCTCGTGCCCCTCGCTTGGAAGTTCTGTGCTCGATACAGATATTGAATTGCCCATTCAGAAACAATATCTTGAACGACTGCATTGCCTAATTTAGCTCTAATTGGGCTGTCAAGGCTATACCGGGACAATTTCTTTCCTAGCAAAGCTATCAAAGACATACGTTGGTTGCTGCTAAAGGAAGGACAGAAACAGACTTATGGGACTGATGGGCTGGAAGACAAGAACTGAAATCTTGGATTCAGTGTGAGAGCGGGAGGCCGATGTTATGTCTTTCTCACTTTGCAATCGTCCGAGACCAGACGTGAGCGAGCCGAAATTCACATCATTGAAGTCAAAAATGTGAGAGATCTCTTGTTCCTTTCTATATTCAAATCTGACTGTTGGTTTTTTTTTTCCTTTTCCTAGCCCAGAACGTCAGCTGTGCTGCTGAAATGTCTCACGACTTTTTTAGTATTAAGGACCAGGGTATAGCCCCTGTATTTCCTGGTCTGTCAGCCCGAAGCATCCCAGAAAACCCAGATATTCAACGTGAGACTCTGCGTTTGCTCCTGCAGTATTCTAGAGCCTCTTGTCTGCCGTCAGCTCCGGCCACTTCTGGCCATACGGCTCAAGATGACTGGCAGACTGAAGTCCAGCCCAGTGAGGCCTCACCTCTCCAAGTATCACCTCGACCCACGCGTTCATCAAGTGGTAGCCGTGCCACTCGATCTTCTCCTTCTCACTCTGTCCCTGCTTCCTCTGGCAGTCCAATCCGAGTTTCTCCTCGCACTTCTTCGCGCAATTCCTCCCGTGCTTCCTCCCGCGCTCCCTCTCGACTTCCATCTCCCCCAACAGTTTCTGTCTCGTCCTCATATGGCATCTCTCCCAGCCATCGCGAGCGTCAACGAACTCTTAGGGAGAGTGTGGCAATCTCAAATGCCAGTAGGAACGATGAGATAGTTGCTCCTATATTAAAACAACATTTCTCATACCCACCCGAAACCATCTCATCTGCCTCCAGAACACCACAACCCTCGCGGTCAATATCACCGACAGCCGAGCAAAATCTCATCCGTCGCTCTAGTCGAAATAGAGTTAAACCAACCAATTATTATGCCAATCCTTGGGTCAATGTTCGTCTTGACTCTGAAGAGCCAGGCACAACTGTTGAATCTATTTCGGACCCAGTCGTGTCTGCGCCACAGGAACCGAGCCGGGTTTTACCCCGCCGCGCAAATGTCCAAAAGCTACTGTACAACCGTGAGCTTGGAGGTGGAATTAACCGTCCCATTGTCACTGATGTGATCTCGGATCTGAGACCATGGAAGTCATGGCAAGGTGCTTCGGGTGATCTTCTTGTTTTGGCTTGGTCGCCTGATGGCACTCAGTTTGCGGCAGGCGCCGCAGCTAAATCAGACGAACATAATATGCAGTACAACAAAGCCAACAATCTTCTTTTGGGCGATCTTCAAAGCAATCGCCTAAAGGAAATTCCGGATCATTGGATTCCACGACCAACATCCTCAACGGTCGATGACCCGCGGCTTTTCATGAGCGTTAATAATATGCAGTGGATTGGTAACCGACTCTACACTGCTAGTTTCGACAAAACTGTCAAAATTTGGGACGTGGAATCACTTCGCAATGTATCCTGTATCCATACCTTGCAGCACGAGTCCCGGGTGGCGGTGATGTCCGTCTCGAAATTCAACCCGAATATATTGGCTACAGGGACAGAGTCAATTTTGGTCTGGGATACACGAGATCCGGAAAATTTAACGTCAACTCTTCTTCCCATCGACCGCGATGCACGATATAAGCCCAGCTTTGAGTTTTCTTCAACGGCTCTGGCCTGGGGACATACTCCATCGACTAAGGAATTCTTAGCCGGGGGCCTCGCAGAACCAGGGGAAGACCTGATATATAAAGGCCACTTAGGTTTATGGCGAGCCCGCGAATCTGCATTTCAGACCATCAGAATTGCGTCCAACTCACAAAATGTCTTCGACATTAAGTGGCATTCTTCATTGCCCATATTTGCCACGGCCAGTCCAGAAGACCCCCACAGCGCACGGATCAAAGGCATTGGCATTACCACGAAATCCATTGTGAGGGTATTTAGCCTCAATTGTGACCTCCAAAAGCGTGTATCATCCATTATGGAATTCTCCTGTCCAGCTTTGGATGTCAATGAGGTCAGTTTCTGTCCAATGGACTCTAATGGTACATATGTCACTGCTAGCTGCACAAATGGCAAAACCTATGTTTGGGACAATCGGAAAGGAGATAGAATTCTTCACGAACTTCACCATAGGGCCCCCCTCAACCCAATTGATCACCAGCGAAGCCGGGAGACAGCAGACGTGGGTGTTAGGGTAGCTCTCTGGGGTTCATCTATGGACCAGTTTTACACCGGTGCGTCCGATGGTGTCCTCAAACGATGGGATATTCGCCGGTCAACTGAAGATGTCCTCGTTGAGGATGTTGCATCTTTCGACGAGGAGATTATGTGCGCCGCCTTCACCGAAGACCAATCCCACCTCCTAGTCGGGGGTTCTGGAGGAGGCGTGCATGTACTATCATCAGGACCTTGTTCAGATCCCAACATCACGACTTTCGAGTTCGAACATGCCCCAGAGCCCGAAAAGCCTAGTGATAGTGGTGTCCTTGCGGGAAATCAGCTTATCGCATCCGGCCAGGTCGTTAGGCATGAAACATTTGGTATGGGCCAAGGGCCCTCTTACACGGGCCCTTTCGCCGCATGGGCTCGGGATGTTAAACCAGACCTTTCTGCTGATCGAATTATGCAACTCCCTCTGCTCAAAAAATATCAAATCCAACAATTGGATGGACCGCCCCCAGAAGATCGTCATGAACTCGATTTGAATCAGCGACGTGAGGTCAAAAGACAAATAAAACTTGCGGAAATACGAAATCGACGATTCCATAAGAGAAAACGCCAGGAGAATGATGATCCTTCTACGTTCATACTTAGTGGCCCCGTATTTTTGCCTTCTCTTGGCTCTTCCCGCCCGGGGAAGAAGAGGAAGAAGAAAGCTGAGAAAGTCGAAGTGAAAAGGAAAAAAAAACAAGAGGAGAATCATGAAGAACATCAAGATAAGAAAGATGACCGCGGTGAGAATGGGGAAGGGAAAGTCAGAAAAAAATCTCGCATTAAAAAGAAGGCTCGGAAGGGCTCCCGGATAATCAGCAACACTGAAGATGTTGACCTCACCCTCCTAGACTCAGATACGGAGGAGACATCAAACCGACATCGGTTTGACCTTGAGACACTGCTTGAGGTTCTCGAAGAAGATAACTGGTTCCCAGCTAGTGGAGAAATCGATCCTAATATCCAAAAGGAGATTGCCTAATGTGACACCTTGATACTGTTGTGCTTTGCATAGCATTGAAGCGTGGAGTCCTGATTTGGTTTAAAAAAAAATTAAAACAATAATTCACGCGAAAGAGCTATGTTGGTATATATTTGTAAGAAAATCTGATTGGAATCTTGAATGTGGTAGCCTGTTTATGACTACGGAGTACGTGTAGTTAACTAACTAGTTAGGGCTATATATGGTGACATCAGCCCTCAGCCACTGGAGGCGCAGTCTAGATGCCTGAGGCCCTAAATTCTCCGCTTATTCCCAGTATATATCCATGGAACCAAGAACACCTCTCTTTTACTCTCTCTCCTCTATCCTCTTTTGATCTTTTGATTACTGAAGCTTTAAGTCAACGCCATTACAATTTAATTTATCCTTACATTTTTTGAGGTAATCATACTCATGTCGTTCGCCCCGCCTTCCGGACCTCCCCCGCCCTCGGTACCCGACGGATGGAAAGCACAGTATGACGATCGATACCACACTTGGTATGTATTGTATATGCATTTATATGCATCTTAATAGAGATTGAAGTATGGCGTTCTGACAATCAGCTAGGTTCTATGTGGACCTTGCCACGGGAAAATCGCAATGGGACCGCCCCGAAGGCCCCCCACCGCGCGATGACGGCAATATTCCAAACAATTCTCTTCCGCCATCATACGCCAATGCCGGGCCTGGCGATCCAGCAGTAATAGCCAGTGCAGGAGATCAGAAGCAACATATGGGATCAAACAACCCCTATAATCCTTCAACAAATGCTGGCCCAGGCAACGCCAGCCCTCACATGATCGACGAGGACGCACGACTTGCCGCCAAGCTCCAAGCCGAGGAAGACGCCCGGGCCCACACACGAGGAACCGGAGCCGGATTGGGAGATCGCGGTGCCTCAACGGACTACTACAACGATGCCTCGCGGCCGCAGTCCACCGGTCCGGGCGGATATGCGGCGGGCCCAGCGTCGCATAGCCCAATGCCTGAGCAGGAACAGAAGCGCAGCAAGGGTGGATTTTTGAGCAAGCTGTTGGGCAAGAGCTCGGGCTCAAGCAGCAGACCGCCTCGGCCGCAGCAACAGTACGCCTCATATGCCCAGCAAGGTCCTCCCCCTGGTGCATACTACGGTGGTGGTGGATATCCTCCGCAGCATGGCCCCCAGCCTGGGTATGGACATCCCGGACCGGGATACGGAGGTGGATATGGAGGATACCCGCAGCAAGGTGGGTATTACCAGCAGCCAGCTCGCAGGCAAGGCGGTGGAGGTATGGGAACTGCCGGTGCTGCTGCTCTGGGTGTTGGCGGTGGTTTACTTGGTGGTATGTTGATCGCTGATGCTATGGATGATCACGATGATTACGGCGGCGGTGATGACTATGGTGGTGATGATGGTGGTGATTGATGACTCCCGAGGCGACTTCTAAGCTTGGCGTTTCAATTTTTGTTCAGCATTTTTCTTCTTTAGTTTGTTACTGGGATGGACTTCAGGATAAGGGATAGGCCTCTTTGTACAGCTCGAGGGACTTCTAGGCGCTTTGACATCCCTGGAGTTGGGGGAGGATTCCTTTTGTTTTGCCCAGACAACTCTAGTCATTTATCGACGGTTGGCTCCAAACTTTATGAGCCACGAGCAGCTCCAGCTAACTCTGTATCATACAATCAGCCGCGAGACAATGACAAGAAATCATGTCAAGAGCGGTCAATATTAAAGTAATGAATATTCTATCCGCGCCGCCGGGCAGGACCACTGGTATCTCTACCAGTTGAACCAGCCTGAGTCGCATCGTTGGCCGTAGGGTTAGGGGAACCAGTGCCCGCCATCCAGCTGGCAAGATCAAACCCACCACCATTCATGGCGTTGGTAGTGGCACCGGTTATGGGCGAGGAGCGGGAATGCTGCTCAAATTCAGCACGCATCTCAGGATCCACTAGACAAGAGAGTTAGACACCAAACATTTAAACAGGGCCAAGGAAGATGGGGGTGATAGACATACTACTATCCATGAGCTTGGGCATGATGAACATGAGACCCAGCGCGACAACGGCAAGTAAGACCATTGGGTTTTTGACAAGACTCAAGGGAGAGACTGCGATTCAGTTCAAGGTCAGTACAACTATAGACATTTACTGCAGGTCGTATCTACCAGGAGGGGTTGGGGGGAGGGGGCAAGCTCACATTGAGCACGCTGCTCATAGAAGACCTTCCGTCCAAGAAGTTTAGCCTCAACAACCACATCGGTCTGTTTCTTTCCAGCAATATCCATAATGTATTTCTCTGCGCCACGGTTATCCCATGGGTTCCCGCGGAAAGTTTCCCAGATACCGAGAATGGATCCATCAGCCGCAACATCGACGCGGTAGGGGGCAAAGACGTAATCGCCAGCGGAGCGGATATCAAGCAAGTATGACTCTGGCTGAGCATTGGAGTCGGAGGATGGAAGATCATGGAACACAAATGTTGCCGAGCGGGTCAACGATGCGGAGAGGATGTGATCTTTCCCACCGGAGGGGAGAGTTGTGAGAGTGGCATGGCTCGTTGCGGGGAGAGCATGCGGGTTTGGGAGGGAACTAGAGGCGGGGATGGTAATTATCAAAGAACTGGCAGATACTAGACTGCCAACTCCTAGCAGGAGAAGAGAGGGGAGCGAGAAATACATGACGGAGATATGTTGCTGTGGAAGATAGAGGGCCATGAACTGATCAGCAAGCAGTGTCTGTATCACGTGATGCATATGTTCACTAGCTCTTGGACAAGCATCTCGAATCAAATCATCTTGCTTTTCAAGACCCAGAGTACCATGCCTGTCTACCTTATTTCCAGGTATCTAATAGTCCCCAGCAAGTCTGGCTGCCCCAAGAGACTTATCATCTAACGTCATATGAATAGGATCGCGGATCCCCTCTTCGCCCTGACCATGGGTGTCTCTGCTGCCCTCACTCGCATCCGCCGTGACCAGCGCGAACAGCACCCTGAGCGCGCATCAGAAATCACATACGGAAGTATCGTACAAACGAGCGGGCACCGGTTAAGACGGTGGTGGAATGGAGACTTCCAGGACGTTTAAACAGGAATTGCGATGCATCATCGGTTTGGAGTTTTGGTCTTGGGGAATCTCACAAAGAGAATTGATGTTAACCCTTGTATTCTATTCGTACATGTATACATTGAACTGGTCCGATTTGCATTTGCATGAAATGGTTATACTCAACAGTTTTGTTAAAGGGTATGCTATACTATGATTTTTTACAAAGGCAAAGGTTTTTGAATTAAGAATAATTTTCATTCACTAGGATTTTTTTTCCCTAGAAAAAGAGATAGCCTTGTATCTATGCAATCATGCGCAAAAAGAAACCTTGATACCCCATAAGTTCGTAAAACAAGACGTGAAAAGTAAACGAGTGCCAAATGGCAAATAAGAAAGAATCAGAGCGAAACGTTTAGTCAAGCTCCTCGGGCTTCTCCTCAACCTCATCAGCGGAGCGGGCACCACCCTCGGGGGCACCGGCGCCAGGGGGAGCCTGGCCACCGTAAGCAGCGGAGATGATGGGGTTGGCAACAGCCTCAAGCTCCTTCTGCTGGGACTCGTACTCGTCCTTCTCAGCAGTCTGGTTGCTATCGAGCCAGCCGATGACCTCGTTGATCTTGTCCTCGACCTTCTTCTTGTCATCCTCGGAGATCTGGAGCTTGCCCTCGGAAAGAGTGTTCTTGAGGGAGTAAGCGTAAGACTCAAGGCCGTTCTTGGCCTGGATACGGGCAGACTCAAGCTCATCCTCCTCCTTGTACTTCTCAGCCTCGGAAAGCATGCGCTCGATCTCCTCCTTGGAGAGACGGCCCTTGTCGTTGGTGATGGTAATCTTGTTGGACTTTCCGGTACCCTTCTCGAGAGCGGAGACGTTCATGATACCGTTGGCATCGACATCGAAGGTGACCTCAACCTGGGGAACACCACGGGGGGCGGGGGGAATACCAGTAAGCTCGAACTTTCCGAGGAGGTTGTTGTCCTTAGTGCGAGCACGCTCACCCTCGAAGACCTGGATCAGGACACCGGGCTGGTTGTCGGAGTAGGTGGAGAAGGTCTCGGACTTCTTGGTGGGGATAGTGGTGTTACGCTTGATCAAAGGAGTCATGACACCACCAGCGGTCTCAATACCGAGGGAAAGAGGGGCGACATCGAGAAGCAGGATCTCGTTGGTGGACTTGGAAGACTGGTCACCGGACAGGATAGCGGCCTGGACGGCGGCACCGTAGGCAACGGCCTCATCGGGGTTGATGGACTTGTTGGCGTCCTTGTTGAAGAAGTCGGAGACGAGCTTCTGGATCTTGGGGATACGGGTAGAACCACCGACGAGGACAATCTCGTGAACGGAGGACTTATCGATCTTGGCGTCACGGAGGACACGCTCAACGGGCTCCATGGTGCCGCGGAAGAGATCCTGGCAGAGCTCCTCGAAACGGGCACGGGTGATGGAGGTGTAGAAGTCAACACCCTCGAAGAGAGAGTCGATCTCAATAGAGGTCTGGGCAGCGGAAGAGAGGGTGCGCTTGGCACGCTCGCAAGCAGTGCGGAGACGACGGAGAGCACGTGCGTTGGTGGTGAGATCCTTCTTGTGCTTGCGCTTGAACTCGTTGACGAAGTGGTTGACCAGACGGTTATCGAAGTCCTCACCACCCAAGTGAGTGTCACCAGCAGTGGCCTTAACCTCGAAGATACCCTCCTCGATGGTCAGGAGAGAAACATCGAAAGTACCACCACCAAGATCGAAGATCAGGACATTGCGCTCACCCTCGACCTTCTTGTCAAGACCGTAGGCAATAGCAGCGGCAGTGGGCTCGTTGATGATACGGAGGACATTGAGACCGGCAATGAGACCGGCGTCCTTGGTAGCCTGACGCTGAGAGTCGTTGAAGTAGGCAGGGACAGTGATGACAGCGTTGTTGACGGTGCCACCGAGGTAAGCCTCAGCGGTCTCACGCATCTTAACGAGGATCATAGCGGAGATCTCCTCAGGAGTGAACTGCTTGGCCTCACCCTTGAACTCAACCTCGATGACGGGCTTGGTAGCCTTCTCGACGATCTTGAAAGGCCAGTGCTTCATATCGGCCTGGACCTCAGCGTCCTGATAACGGCGACCAATGAGACGCTTGGCATCGAAGACAGTGTGGTGGGGGTTCATTGCGACTTGGTTCTTGGCGGCATCACCGATGAGACGCTCCGTGTCGGTGAAAGCGACGAACGAGGGGGTGGTGCGGTTACCCTGGTCGTTGGCAATGATTTCAATGCGGTCATCACGGAAGACACCCACACAGGAGTAGGTGGTTCCCAGATCAATACCGACGGCGGGAGCCATGGTGAATGTGTGTAATCGTTAAAAAAAAAAAAGAAGAAAAGTGTAGAAAGAGATTCGTGTGTCAAGAGGGTAGTGTACAGAGAGGGGGTATTTTGAAAGTGAGTGAAAGAAAAGAAGAGGAGGAGGGTTGCGAAAAGCTCCTATATATTGAGCGGTGTATTGCTCCAGAAGCTTCTAGAGGAAGGCTTCCACGGGGATCCATGAGATTCCACGAGCTTCGATGGCCTAGCAACCAACTCATTACGTCCTTCATTAAGTCTCTAGTAAGTTCCAGGTGTGCCTAGTGGAGTCTTCAAGTATACAAAATACTTGATTCTTTCTAATTTTATTCTTAACGATGACAATTCTATATTATTTTGGTACTTCGATGCAACAGTTTCTTTGATGTTCTCAGCTATTTTTTTTTTATGGCGGGGTATGATGTAATAGTGGGATGACTCTTAAGGTGTCGAAGTATTGTATTAATACAGGAATACAGGAATAATACATGTCTCCAGGGAGACCTTTTTGAGTATTGGTAATGGTTAAGTGAAAAAAACAAACATTGAAATGGAAATTATGTATGCGTCATAATGAATTCATGACTATAAATACACTTGTCATATTACATGAGTAATGGGTTATGTAACCTCCTTGCCAACCTTGGAACCTTGGAATCTTGGCAGTAACCTGCTTCAGCCCTGACTTTTTATAAACAAATCTTCCGTTGTCGAGAGTCTCCTTTTTATTTTATATCCTCAATATGGTAAAATCTTTTTAGAATTAATACTATTTTATATGCTTTTATATGACTTTTTATATGACTTTGATACATTTTCTATATAACTTTTTATACCCCTTATATTATAGCTAACATTTAGCCCAAATCAAACTTGAAGATTTATACAATGCACTGTGTGATATGAAAATGGAGCCGATATCATAAATTTGCCCTCTGCTTATCATCCCTAACTATAGACAAATCGGAGCTAACCCGGAGAAACTAGCATCTTCCCGATGTCTTATTCTTTTTAAGCCTTTGAGAAAAAAAATGCCCGAGAAGGCGCCATCCACGCTAAGCATTTGTCTTTAACCTTGTAGATGTAACATCGATAGCATTAGCCTTGACTCGGTCCAATAAGGTATCTTGGAGTTATGTACTGGCAATTGCGAGTATTTACTCCAATCGCACATCATGAGACATTTATAATAGTGTGCTTATAGCTTCTATTCCCATTTCATCTTCACTTTCATTCGGATTTTGGGATCCTCTTTTCCTATATTCGCTGCATTACAGCGTAAGGAACCCGTGGATAAGATCAAAATAGAGATGGGGTCAGAAGGCTCAGAGAACAAAAATGTGAAGGTGGCAGAGACTACAGTGGATGAAGAGAACATCGATTTCAAGGGGGAAACGGCTGCCATTGAACAAGAGACACACGACAACCCAGAGATTGCTGCATTGCCATTTTCGGTGCGACATTTGATCAATTTGACCGATGACCCCAGCTTACCGACAATCACCTTTCGTTACTTTGTGCTCTCAGTCATTTTTGTTATTCCTGGAGCTTTTCTGTCACAGATGAGTAACTTCCGCACAACCAAGGCACCATATTCCATCTTCTTTGTTCAAATTGCCTGCCACTATGCCGGTCACTTTATGGCCAGGGTCCTTCCAAATTGGAACGTTGGAATACCTGGTACTCGCTTTTCTTTTAGCCTGAACCCGGCCCCTTGGAGCATCAAGGAGCATGTCTTGGTCACACTCACTGCAGCTTCTGGGGCCACGTACAACCTGGGGTATGCTCCTATAGTCCTCGCAGAGCTTTGGTACGGTACACGAGTCAATCCAGCGGTTGCGATCTTCTTCATGCTTTCAATCGTATGGATTGGCTACTCTTTTGCTGCTCTTGCCCGACAAATTCTTTTGCCTGACCCGGAATATATCTGGCCCCAAGCTTTGATGCAAACGACATTATTTGAAACTTTCCGTAAAACAGACAATTCATCAGTTCTCGCTCGGCGTCAGATGAAGGTGTTCTTTTTCGCGCTTCTAGGGATGACCATGTGGCAATTCCTCCCAGAATATGTCTTCCCGTTCACCTCATCCCTAGCCTTCCTCTGTTGGGTGGCACCTCACAATCCAGTGGCCAACTTCATTGGCTCAGGTATGGGTGGCATGGGCTTCCTCAATCTCTCGTTAGATTGGTCAAATGTGAACTGGAATGGCTCCTCAATCATGACGACTCCATACTGGACACAGGTCATCTTATTCTTGGCGTTTGCTTTCAATTGCTGGGTCCTACTTCCTGCAGCGAAGTGGGGGAATCTAGGTTCATTCAAGCACGGACTCATGTCCAACAGCCTTTTCCTAGGCAATGGTACAACCTACCCAACCCTCGACGTGCTCACCCCAGACTATCACCTGAACACGACCGCTTACGAGGAGTATGGACCGATGTATATGGGGTTACAAAATGTGTGGGCGACATTTTTTGACTATGCCAAACTTCCAGCAGCGGTCACTTGGATCTTGACGTTTGGATACGCGCAGGTTTCCGGGAATCTCCAAAGAATCTGGTCGTCTCGAAAAGCAGAGAAATCCACGAATAACGAAGGTATTCATCACCAGTATCACGACCGTCTAAACGTTATCCAGAGACAGTACAAAGAGATTCCATGGTGGTGGTATGCTATTCTATTCTTGGTAGCCTTTGTCATTCTGATTATATTCCTCGCCCTCGGCCATCTCTTCATTCCAATCTGGACCTTGTTTGTGGCACTTGCGAGTGCTGCAGTTCTGGTCATCCCGTTTGCTTGGCTTTACGCGATCTCCAACTACCAGCTTGAGACTGGCTCTTTCAACGAACTCATGTATGGCTATATGGTCCACACAAAAGCCGGTGATGCCCACCAACACCCCTGTGGTCCGTCTGTCTATGGGTCTATTGCTGGTGACGCCTGGTATCGTGCGCAGTATATGCTCCAAGACCAAAAGATTGGTCACTACATGCACATCCCACCCCGGACTGTTTTCTTCTCTCAGATTTTCGGCACTTGCATGGGTGTTCCAATCAACTATGCCGTCATTCGTTGGGTCATGGACACCAAAGGCGATTATCTGACTGGCAAAAAAACGGATCCACTAAATCAATGGACAGGACAGTCCCTGCGGACCTCTAACACAATGGGAGTTCAGTACGCTGTGCTTGGCCCAAAGAGGCTGTTCGCTGAGACAGAAATGGCCGTGCTTCCGTGGTCATTCCTTATAGGGGCGGTGATTCCTCCTATTCTCTTCTGTTTTCACCGATTCTTCCCCCGGCTTCGAATTGACTTGTGGAACGTCAGTATCTTTTTTGGGGGGCTAGCGATGTTCTATGGTAACATCAGTACTGGTTATACATCTGCCATTATTGGTGGATATGTTGTAATGTACTGGGCTTACCGTCGCCATTTTGAGGTCTGGAAGCGGTATAACTATATTCTTGCTGCTGCATTTGATGCTGGCTTCAACCTCAACATGTTGCTCGTCTTCTTCTTTTTCGGAGCAGGCAAGCAAATTTCAATGCCAAAATGGTGGGGCAATAACGCAACATCTGTGGAAAGGTGTTTCGCTCTCGATAGCTGATTTACTTTACTAATTTGGTAGTATGAGGAATAGTTCTAATACGATACATAGTACTTGCTACTTTGGACTTCATAAGTGCAGGGGAAAGAACTTCAATGAAGTGCTGTAATACTCTTGTAAAATTGCCGATGGCCATCGGCAGTCATTGACCCATATAAGCAACTTGGATAGGATTGTCTTACTATGTAATTAAAGTCCAATAATTTGCTTACTCTGACCTTTCACTTGATTTTCCGTTCATTTTCCGTAGTTGGGTATTTGTACTTGATGCCTCAGGGCAAGATCTGTCACAGGGTTTGATCTCCCACGACAGCCAATCAGATGACGGGATCCCGTCCTTACAGGTTGTTTTGGTTCGAGGGGACCTTACTTCGCAGACCGTCTTTTAAATTCCACTTGCCCCCTTTCCACCAACCATCCTTCTTACAATTCTCCATCTACTCTAAACAAATCCCATTATGGCTGACCAGGCGACTATCTCCAACTCCAACGAGGAAGCCTTCGCCAAGGGCAAGGGCAAGGCTGACCCCACGCAAGATATGAGCATGGACGAGGAGAGCGAGTCGGAGAGCGAGAACGAGATTGTGAGTCTACAATGTCCACGCCCAACTACTTCTTTTTTTGTACTGACTTTCTTGCGTGTTACTAGGCCGACAATGGTGTGTACCCCACTATCCCCCAAGCAACCCATGCCTGAATGAACACACGCGGCATATCAATCATCAATTGCCTTCATACTGACTCTTTCTGTTTTCTAGATGAGGAGGATGACGCGCAAGACAATCTCAACGACCCCATCGACCAGAGCAACATCATCCAGGGTGGCCGACGCACACGCGGCAAGGTCATTGACTACTCTAAGATCTCCACCGATGAGATGGAGGATGACGAGGATGATGATGAGGAATACCAAAGCCGTGAGGACGACCAAACCAACGATGATGATCAGATGCGCGACTAAGCTCGATGAATACAAAACTACCGGGTGGCATGGAATTGCTTTGAACGATAGGCGCCACGGATCGGTCCACGATGTTTTTTTCTTTCGCGCATGCCCATAACATGTCACACGATTCTGTGATGACAATGAATCAATGAATATCATTTCAGTTTTCTTTTTCCAACCTTGTTAATATACACTTTATCTGTTGATTATTAGTTGGCCGATGTTCAGCCTATATAAATGTAATTCGTAGGAAAATGGATATCTCCAGGGCTATAGCTTGGAATATGCAAATACTTTGCCCATTGAGTTCCATCATAATCCACCTTAAATGGCCAAAGTGACAATAAATAGATTCCCGCGAGAACCACAACTGTGTGTATCCCGCGCGTGTCGATTTCCAGTACTTAGGTCATCACGTGTTGTTCGGCGAATGACGACGCTATGGCCACCTTGATGTTTTATCTCCGCAAGCATCGAGGAGTTGAACTGTGATTGCCTTGGGATTTTGACACTTGCGAAATGCTCGATTACCGTTGAATACCTTATCGATCTGCAATTTATGTTCCTCCTCTTACTCCGCCACAAGCTCTAGCTATATTCGACGACCGTCATGGCTTCACGGTATAGTTCCACCGTTAATATCTCAGTTCATATGAGGATGTCCTTCAGTTAGCTAACGCAGCAGTAATCTAAATAGATTCCCCCGTCAACGTGATCCACGTGCCTCTTCGTCTCTCTTTGATCAATATGGTGGCGACTCCCGCCAAGCTAGCAGATCCCCTGCCCAACAACCAGGTGGGTATGGGTATGGAGGCTACTCCAGTCCAGCGCCTAATGGTTACGCGGGTAACGGTACAGCTGGAGCGGGTTATCAGAGTGCATCACCCGACAAAAAGTGCGTTGAGTTGTTCTTTATTTGAGGTCACCCGTCGTTCACCCAAGGAGGTATAGTTGCTAACCAAGGCTTTGCGATAGGGGACACTACTCCGATTCAGTTCTCTCATCTCTCGAGTCACAAAATGATGCTGAAGTTGAGGGCATCAGCGCCAAGGTCAAAATGCTGAAGGATGTAAGAAGCTTTGCCGCCAAACTGCAGACCCGACGGAAGCAGATGATCGTTTGAAATGACAACTTGCTGACAGGGGAACCATCTAGATCACAATCGCAATTGGCGACGAAATCCGAGATACCACACACATGACCGAACTCAATGATTCATTCGACAACACCCGAGTCCGACTTCGTGGGAATATGAAACGCATGCTTCGCATGGCCGAGAGCACCGGCGTCGGCTGGCGAGTTTGGCTCGGCTTCTTTTTCGCTGTCTTCCTCCTGTTCTTCTATGTGTGGATATTTTGAACGTATACCCTTTCTGTATCTCTAAGAGGTGCACTCGCGCTTTATACCATGTCGACCACGCCTGTCTTTCGTCTTTATCACGTTTAATCTCTCGTCTTCACGCAAGCCCTAGCGACTTGGTTTTTTACTTGATCTCATATGGATCAAGTCACGCATATGACCTATCAGTATTTTGAGCATGGGAATCTTGGCTTTGGCGCTATGAGGTGTTCTGGGACTGTGTCTTTTGATGAGCTATGTATATGCAAACTCCTGCCATTCGCTCAGATGTCGACCAGGGTACTGCCTTCTGGGTCGCCACGTTGGGAACCTGCCTGATATTCACCACCAGAGATAACCCCGGGAGGTTGTCCAATGTGACCTGACGATGATTAGCTTACTTCTGGCTTTATATTGGAAAATGTTTTCAGTAAATTTCGTACATAATGCATATAAAACAATATACAGGGATTGCTCTGGCAAAAGATCCTTTACAGGTTGAGCTTTCCTTCTTATGGAGGACTTCTGGTTGCTTACCTCAAAGTGCTTTCGGGATTATGTTCATTGAATTTGCTCATAGAACATCTTGTCTCATAAGTATCGTAAACTGCCATTAAAACTCCCGAGGGAAAAGCCCCCGGTGTCTATCTTTTCGTACTAACAGAACCGTCATACAGGAAATTGACCAAACATGGCATCATTTTGGATAGCCACTCTAGTTCAGACTGTCCCTGGGCCCACCGATTCGCCGCGGGAACCTTCTAGTAAACCCGCTTCGTCGACTGCCCTGACTGGTTATGGATGCGCGTAGGTCATCGTCACTATAAAGCATGCTGCTAGAATCCAACACATCACCACCACCACTCCAGCGATTGAGGAAACGGCGCTGGGCTTCAGTCTCGGGCTCACGGGGCAGAGTCGGAGGTGGAGGCAAGCCACCACGACTGTTTGGCGTACTGGTGCGAAAGTTCTCGGCAAACCTGGTTTGAATGATACTGGGTTCGTTTTCCTCTTCCTCATCACTCAGCTCTTCTTCGCTGTCTGTGTGCTGCCATTCCCCTTCTTGCTCCGAACCTTGTTCTGCAGCGTCGGGGATATCATCGTCGAGATCGCGCGTCATGCCCTCGCTCACACTCTCACCGTCGGCAGCAGGTATCTCCGCATCTAGATCAGGCTGGTTGTCGAAATCGTCTTCGTCATCGTCATCATACAGTCCTGAGCCCTCATAGTCATCATCGGGGAAACCTTCAGGGATGTCATCATCCAAGTCGCGCTCCATATATTCTCCTTCGCCAATTTCATCTTCCTCGAGTCCTTCTTCGCCTTCCTCGACAAGACCCGAGACCTCCTCCTCCGCGTTGGGAATATCGTCATCCAAATCTCGTTCCATGCCTTCGTCCTCTTCTATTTCCTCTCTGTGCATGCCCATGTCATCGTCCATAATCCCTTCTCCCTCTGCAGCTTCCATCTCAGCTGCAGCTGCCTGTAGGGCCTCTTCGCGCTCCGCTTCCTCCTCTTTCATACCGAGCATTGTTTTTGCACATCCCGCCGGCCTGATCCATGAGTACCCGAATGAGGCGATGTTTAATTTCCGAGCACGTAGCGAGCGTTCTTCCGCGGCTAATGTGGCAATTGTGTTGGCAGAAGAGCGGGATGGCATGAACGAGCGATTACTGGGCGTGCCGTTGCCATTTCGTCGGGCGAGGTGATTTGCAGCGGCATTGTCGCCTTGTTGATCGGAGGTAGAGCGATATGGTTGGGAAGATCCGAACCAAAGTTCGTGGGACTGTCAAGTTAGTTTCCTGTTTAAGAAGCTTGTATCCTAGAGTCTAGCACTCACGTCGCGCGGGGTGATGGATGAAAGGGTGAGCATCGATGCGATGTTCTAGTACCAAATTTGGGAACACGCTTCGTACCTATTCCGAGGTTTCTGCTTATTGGGTTTCGGATTTGGCTTGGAGACACGGGCGCTTTGTAGTTATACTTTGAGGTAGCAGATATGCGAGTGATGTTGGTGGTGTTACTGCGTATTCTAGAGAAGGAACAAAAGTGATAAAAGCAATTGGAGATGTATACGCGTACAATGAAAGGGAAAGCGAAGAAAAGGCCGAGAGCTCCACAGCCAATCAATTCATCTATGCGGGGAGCTCCCCCAACCCTATCAATTTACTATAGAGCTTGTAGTTATATATATGTATCCTATATCTTCTATATGTAGTAAAAATTGAAATTATGTGTATCTTCCATTAATGTTTAATACATCTTCAGGCACTAGGATAGATTTAAGGATCAGTTAAGACAATAGTTAGCAGTTCCACAAATTAATATTGCTTTCACCTACTGATACCCAGTCAATGAGACAGTTGCTGGCTACAGGCATTGCATATGTACTACTCCATGCTACGATGCATGAATCTACTGTAGACTACTAGCTCAAATGGGTCTCGAATGACTGAGACCCTGGAAATTCAAGTGAGATGGTCACAGATATTTTGAGTAGAAGATGTGGAGGTCTACAAAATCTCGACACTTATAATATAATCAAATATAATCATAGTACGAAGTACTTTGTAGAAGAATCCAAATACGGAGTACAACATACATTCATAGCTCATGTCTATATCCCGGAATCACCCGATTACCATGTTAGCGGTGTATCAAATCCGGTGAACCTAAAGGAGACACCGGAAAAAGCCGGGATATTATTGGGAGACTCTTTCTTTTACCTCGACTTTAATTGGAAGAAAGAGATCATGTGATATATATCTCTTAAGGTGAATATGGTACAGATATATATGAACTATAAATCAAAATTGAACTCCTGTTTCACCCGATATATACTGTGGGCTGACTAGACTATAGCTCAGTGTTATGTATTCTTATTATCTCATCTACCTTATCTCTAGATCTTCACATGGGACGGATCACTTTCCTCCGGACTCTATGGGGTAAAGTATATTTTAGTAAAACATGGGGAAGCATGGCCATATTCCGATCGGAGCTGAATCCCTGTACTCCGTAGTAAAAGGTGATTTGTGAATGCAAACGGTTCAAGGGCCCGAAATCGGGCTAGAAGGCATGATTTTGTGGAATGTGTATGGAGTATTACAGGTATTTATATATATGAATAGGACATCTGGAATGTTCCAAATTTCATTCTTTTTGGAATATTTGATATAGGTACTTTAATATTTGTCCTCTTTTTTTTTTTTTTTTTTTTCTCAGGGAGGTAAGCAGACTAAATAGCAAATTAAGCACTGCATCTTTGCCCCACAGGTTTAGTTGATTTTTGCCTCATTTCTGGTACTTTTTTTTTTACTTTGTAGGTATACACTTCAGAGTAGAATGAGCTCTGATCTTTTTATGGGGCTTAACGGGCCTATGGGGCCGCCCCACTGTTGTACCTTGTTTTGAGCTTTAGAGAAGAGAGAGAATTATATTTTATAGATATAATAAATAGTATATAAGTCTAAGTATATAAGTATATAAGTATAGATAAAATCAAATAAGAGTAATAGTTAATTGACGTAGTAAAAAGCTAACCCTGTTGTAAAACCTTCACTCTGATTGGTCGAGTGATGCTTATCTTGGGGATGATTTGCACTCCGTAATCATAATGATTATCATTACTTGGCTGTTTGCGTCTCAAAAGATCTTTCTCTTTACTCTGTATACTCTGTTCACTCTGTATAGTATATGTGTATGTATGTATAGTGTGTATATATGTATACTAGCACATGTAGCATATGTAACATATTTCTTTCAACCTCCCCTTACCGTACTCTTGGCTGCTTTTCTAGCAATTCGCCACGGTAAATCTCCCCACCCATTGTAATTTTCCCTTTGGGTACATCGGGGCTTGCAATCCCCGGACCTACTGTCCCGTAATCACCCTCTCTCTTTTTTTTTTCCCTTCCCCCCCCTCTTTTTTATTCTCTGGTTCTCTTACCTTTCCCCTCTCTTCTACCTTCAACTCTTTCGCAGAAGCTGGGTGACCATTGACACCTTTGTTCCTCCATCACCCACACTGCGACACCCTGTGACGACATCACCTGTCAATCCCCAAATCAGTGGGGACTTTCTAGAAACAATCCCCCCTTCAGTTACCATTCCATTCTCTGCCCCCCGGTGGAAGAATGGGTCTTAACTTGGAGGAGCTTTATGGCAAAGATATAAGTGAAGAACAGGCTCATGAGTATTCTCAGTACCAACCCAAAAAGGGTTATGGCTGGGCCAATGCTCTCCCAGAGCGGCAAGGTCTGTACGACCCTGAATATGAGAAGGATGCCTGTGGTGTAGGCTTTGCAGCGTGAGTGAAGCCCCAATGGGAGATGAGGACACAATTCTAATGGAAATCAGTCACATCAAGGGAAAACCAAGCCACAAGATTGTTAGCGATGGTGAGTGACGGTTCTTTTTTTGCTTGAACTTAAATATCAGAATGAAGCTTATAGCAATTGAATAGCCCGCAATCTATTGTGCAACATGACCCACCGAGGAGCCGTTGGCTCTGATGCACGCGATGGTGACGGTGCTGGTGTGATGACCAGTATTCCACACAAGTTCTTCATTAAGAATTTTGCCCGCGAGGTGGGCGTGGATCTCCCCCCATTGGGACAATATGCTGTCGGCAACTTGTTCTTCAAGCCCGATGAGGAGGCCCTCAAGCAATCCATAACAAGCTTTGAGGAACTGGCCACGACACTTGGCTTGCGCGTGCTTGGATGGCGTGAAGTGCCACGGGATTCAACTATTCTTGGTCCCGCTGCACTATCTCGAGAGCCCATTATTATGCAGCCATTTGTGGTCTTGAAATCAGCATATGGTGAAGGCAACAAGCCGGAGATCACGGACACGGAAAAGTTCGACGAGAGAACTTTTGAGCTTCAGCTGTACGTTCTACGGAAGCGTGCTACTCATGTCATCGGCCTCGGAAACTGGTTCTATCTCTGCTCTCTCAGCAACCGGAACATCGTCTACAAGGGTCAACTCTCTCCCGTTCAAGTGTACACGTACTACCATGATTTAGTGAACGTAGACTACGAGGGCCACTTTGCCTTGGTGCACTCTCGATTCTCTACAAACACATTCCCATCTTGGGATCGTGCCCAGCCCCTACGATGGGCCGCCCACAACGGTGAAATCAACACCCTACGAGGTAATAAAAACTGGATGCGTGCACGAGAGGGTGTCCTGCGGTCCGAGGTCTTCGGTGACGAGCTTGATAAGCTTTACCCTATTGTCGAGGATGGTGGCTCCGACTCAGCTGCATTTGATAACGTGCTTGAACTGCTCATGATCAATGGCGTTCTGTCTCTTCCCGAGGCAGTGATGATTATGATTCCGGAGGCCTGGCAAGACAACCCAGCCATGGATCCAGCCAAGTCCGCTTTCTACGAGTGGGCTGCCTGTCAGATGGAACCTTGGGATGGCCCAGCTCTTTTCACTTTCTCCGATGGACGCTACTGCGGTGCTAACCTGGACCGTAACGGCCTCCGTCCCTGCCGTTTCTATGTAATGGACGATGATCGCATCGTCTGTGCTTCCGAGGTCGGCGCTATTGATATTGACCCCGAGAGGGTTGTCCAAAAGGGCCGCTTGCAGCCTGGAAAGATGCTGCTGGTTGATACCGTCGCTGGTCGGATCATTGATGATGCCGAGCTCAAGCAGACTGTTGCCCGCCGCCAGGACTTTGCCGGCTGGTTGGACAAGGGGCTTCTGAAGCTCTCTACTATCAACCAGACGCTACTTGACTCCAACGTTGATCTTTCTTTTGCCTTGGATAGTAACACAATCCAGAATGACCCTCGCCTCCGCGCATTCGGGTACTCCTTTGAACAAGTCAGCTTGATTCTTGGCCCCATGGCCGCAGACTCCAAGGAAGCTTTGGGCTCTATGGGTAATGATGCACCTCTCGCGTGTATTGCTCAACAGCCTCGCCTACTCTACGAGTACTTCCGCCAGCTCTTTGCTCAGGTCACCAACCCTCCCATTGACCCTATCAGAGAGGCTGTGGTTATGTCCCTCGAATGTTACGTCGGCCCCCAGGGAAACCTGCTGGAAATGGACCCTTCGCAATGTCACCGTCTGCGTTTGCCTTCTCCCATCCTGAGCATTCCCGAGTTCAATGCTTTGAAGAATGTCAATATAGCCCACAAGGATTGGACTGTGCGAACCATCGATATCACATTCGAAAAGAGCAAGGGCACTGCTGGTTATATTGAAGCGCTCGATTCCATCTGCGATGGTGCCACTGAAGCTATTCAGAATGGCGATAAGGTCATCATTCTCTCCGACCGGGCTACATCCGCCGACCGTGTTGCAGTCTCTGCCTTGTTGGCCACCGGTCTGGTGCACCACCATCTCGTCCGAAACAAGTGGAGATCGCTTGCCGCCCTGGCAGTTGAAACTGCCGAGGCTCGCGAGGTTCACCACCACTGTGTTCTGCTAGGATATGGTGCCGATGCCATTAACCCTTACCTGGCTCTGGAATGTATTCTTAAGATGAACCGAGAGAAGTTGATCCGCAAGGACATCTCCGATGAGAAGGTTATTGAGAACTATCAGTCATCCTGTGACGGTGGTATCCTCAAGGTTATGAGTAAGATGGGTATCTCTACTCTCCAGTCCTACAAGGGTGCCCAGATTTTCGAAGCCCTTGGCATTGACGACAGCGTTATTGATCGCTGCTTCTCTGGTACTGCCAGTCGCATCCGTGGTATCACATTTGATCTGATTGCCCAGGATGCTTTCGCCTTCCACGAGCGCGGTTACCCTTCGCGTCCCATTGTCGAAGTTCCCGGTCTGCCCGAATCCGGTGAGTACCACTGGCGTGATGGAGGAGAGGCCCATATCAACGACCCCACCAGCATTGCCAACGTACAGGATGCTGTTCGCACCAAAAACGACAAGTCCTACGAGGCCTATGCAAAGTCTGCACATGAGCAGATCAAGAACTGTACTTTGCGTGGCATGCTGGACTTCGATTTCGACCAGAGGACCCCTATTCCCATTGATCAGGTTGAGCCTTGGACCGAAATTGTCCGCCGCTTCGTGACCGGTGCCATGTCTTATGGATCCATCTCTATGGAATCACACTCCACGATTGCCATTGCCATGAACCGCTTGGGCGGCAAGTCCAACACTGGTGAGGGTGGTGAAGATGCCGAGCGTAGCAAGAGAATGGAGAACGGCGACACGATGCGGTCTGCCATCAAGCAGATTGCTTCCGGTCGTTTCGGCGTTACGTCCAACTACCTAGCGGACGCCGACGAGCTGCAGATCAAGATGGCCCAGGGTGCGAAGCCCGGCGAGGGTGGTGAATTACCCGGCCACAAGGTCGTCGGTCCCATTGCTCGCACTCGGTTTTCCACCCCTGGAGTCGGTCTAATCTCCCCGCCTCCGCACCATGACATCTACTCTATTGAAGATCTGAAGCAGCTTATCTATGATCTTAAGTGCTCTAATCCCCGATCTCGTGTCTCTGTGAAGCTCGTATCTGAGGTTGGTGTTGGTATTGTCGCCTCTGGTGTGGCCAAGGCTAAGGCCGATCACATCTTGATCTCTGGCCATGATGGTGGCACCGGTGCCTCGCGCTGGACCGGTATCAAGTATGCCGGTCTTCCTTGGGAATTGGGTCTCGCAGAGACCCATCAAACTCTGGTTTTGAACGATCTTCGTGGTCGTGTTGTGGTTCAGACTGATGGCCAAATTCGTACCGGCCGTGATCTTGCCATCGCCTGTCTGCTTGGAGCGGAAGAATACGGGTTTGCCACGACTCCTTTGATCGCATTAGGATGCATTATGATGAGAGTGAGAACATCCTGTCTCTGATTTTCTAACGAGCGGCATATTAACAAATATATTTTTCTCTAGAAATGCCACCTGAATACCTGTCCTGTTGGTATTGCGACCCAGGATCCCGAACTGAGGCAGAAATTCAAGGGTACACCCGAGCATGTTATCAACTTCTTCTACTATGTCGCCAATGAGATGCGTGCTATCATGGCTAAGCTGGGTATTCGTTCGGTCAACGAGATGGTCGGGCGTGCCGAGCTGCTTAAGATCCGGGACGATATTCGTAATGTCAAGCAGGAACGAATTGACCTGTCACTCATCCTGACCCCCGCTCACTCGCTTCGCCCTGGAGTCGCTACCTACAATGTTCGCAAGCAGGACCACCGCCTTCACACCCGCTTGGACAATAAGTTGATTGCTGAATCGGAACTCGCTCTTGAGAAGGGTCTACCCTGCCGAATTGAGTGTGATATAGTTAACACCGACCGTGCTCTGGGTGCTACTCTCTCCTATCAGATCAGTAGACGTTATGGCGAAGCTGGTCTTCCTCAGGATACCATCCATGCGAACATCAAGGGCTCTGCTGGCCAATCCTTTGGTGCCTTCCTCGCCCCCGGTGTCACCCTTGAGCTTGAGGGTGATGCCAACGACTATGTCGGCAAGGGTCTCTCTGGTGGCCGTCTCATCGTCTACCCCCCGCGAGGAGCCGCTTTCAAGGCCGAAGAAAACGTCATCGTCGGTAACACTTGTCTTTACGGTGCTACCCGCGGAACTTGCTACTTCCGTGGCATGGCTGCTGAGCGTTTTGCTGTCCGTAACTCTGGTGCCACTGTTGTCGTCGAGGGTGTCGGTGACCACGGATGTGAGTACATGACCGGTGGCCGCGTACTCAACCTCGGACCCACTGGCCGCAACTTCGCCGCTGGTATGTCTGGTGGTATTGCCTACGTTCTGGATAAGAACCAGGACTTCCATTCCAAGGTCAACTTGGAAATGGTTGAAATCTCCAGTATCGAAGACCCGTCGGAGATTGCCTTTGTCCGTGGGTTGGTTGAAGATCATCACCATTACACTGGCTCTGAGTTGGCTGCTCGCATCCTGCTCGACTTCACTCGTGCTCTCCCTCACTTCGTCAAAGTTCTGCCAACTGACTACAAGCGTGTCATGGAGGAAGAGGCTGCCAAGGCAGAGGCTGCAAAGAAGGCCGAATTTACTCTTCCTCAGCTTCCTAGCACCCCAGTTAAAACCGAGAAGGTGAAAGTCGATGATACCAAGAAGACCGACTTGCTGGATATTGAAGACAGCATCAGCGACTCGAAGACTGAAAAGAAGCGCTCTGCATTGATCTTGGACAAAACAAGAGGTTTCATGAAGTACAGCCGCCGCAGTGAGAAGTATCGCAACGCGACAACCCGTACTCGCGACTGGGGCGAGATCTCCCATCGTCTCAGCGAGGACGAGCTCAAGTACCAGTCTGCCCGTTGTATGGATTGTGGTGTTCCATTCTGTCAGTCCGATACTGGCTGCCCCATTTCCAACATCATTCCTAAGTGGAACGAGTTGGTTTTCCAGGTTAGTTCCACAAATAAAGATCCAGTCCCGACTGATTTTGATTTACTAAACCCACCCAGAACCAATGGCAGGATGCTTTGAACCGTCTCCTTATGACCAACAACTTCCCCGAGTTCACCGGTCGTGTCTGTCCTGCGCCTTGCGAAGGATCCTGTGTTCTAGGAATTAACGAAGACCCCGTCGGTATCAAATCCATCGAGTGCGCGATTATTGATCGTGGATTTGAGATGGGCTGGATGGTTCCCTGTCCTCCCAAGACCCGCTCTGGCAAGACCATTGCTATCATCGGCTCTGGCCCTGCTGGTTTGGCCGCTGCCGACCAGCTTAACCACGCTGGCCACAGCGTCACTGTCTATGAGCGTGCCGACCGAATGGGTGGTCTTCTCATGTACGGTATCCCTAACATGAAGCTCGACAAGAAGGTTGTCCAGCGCCGTATCGACCTCATGGCCGCTGAAGGTATCAAGTTCGTTGCGAACACTGCTGTTGGTCCTGACTGCGAGGTTTCTCTGCAGTCCCTTCGTGCCGCAAATGATGCTGTCATCGTTGCCACTGGTGCCACTGTTGCGCGTGATCTCAAGGTCACTGGTCGTGAACTGGATGGCGTGCACTTTGCCATGCAGTTCTTGCATAAGAACACCAAGTCCCTCCTCGACTCCGGTCTTTCGGATGATGCATACATCTCTGCTAAGGACAAGCATGTTGTCGTCATTGGTGGTGGTGATACCGGCAACGATTGTATCGGTACATCTGTCCGCCATGGTGCCAAGTCGGTGACCAACTTCGAGTTATTGCCCCAGCCTCCCCCAGAGCGTGCCCGTGACAATCCCTGGCCTCAGTGGCCCCGTATCTACCGCGTCGACTATGGTCACACCGAGGTCAAGACGCACATGGGCAAGGACCCACGTGAGTACTGTGTCATGTCGACAGAGTTTGTTGACGATGGCAACAACCACGTCAAGGGCATTAACACTGTCCGGGTTGAGTGGACTAAGAGCGCTACTGGCGGCTGGGACATGAAAACCGTCGAGGGTAGCGAGCAATTCTTCCCCGCCGACCTTGTCCTCCTCTCTATGGGATTCTTGGGACCTGAGGAGCGTGTCTTTGGTGAGGATATTGAGCTTGACCCTCGTAAGAACGTTAAGACTCCTCCCGGTCACTACTCTACCAACATCCCCGGTGTCTATGCGGCCGGTGACTGTCGCCGTGGACAGTCTTTGATTGTCTGGTGAGTTTTGGTCCAATTCCTACTAGAAATTTCTACTAATATAATTCCAGGGGTATCAACGAAGGTCGCCAGTGTGCTCGCGAAGTGGATTCTTTCCTCAGCGGAACCAGCTCCCAACTTCCAGTCACCGGTGGTATCGTCCGTCGTCCTGCCATCGACTCCGTTCCCCAACCCACTGAGGTTGCTGCTTAGTATAGCGGTGCGGGACATGTTTACGAATTTGACGGCCATTATCACGATAAAAGTTTCATTTCGATGCGGAAAAGTTCATCAAATGGGATAAACTTGTGATTTAGACGGGATTTCATGGGGTTGGTTTTCTGCGCGAATGAAGAAGCCTCTCTTTTTATTTTCATCTCTTGTTTCTGTTTCAGCGTTTTTATTTCTTATTTCTTGTTTTTCTTTTTTCAAGTTTGCAAGGTGTTTAGAGCGTTGGCCATTCGGTGATCTCTCTATTTCAGTACATAGCTTTTCTACAAATCTATGTTCCATCATTATTTCAATCCCCGTAAAGCTGAATGAAGATATGTCTTTATGTGAAAGAACAAAGAGTTCACAATGTCTTTATGCTTTCTTTGGGCTACTTCCCTTTGTTAGACTTGCATGACTTTAATGGCTACACTATATAACTGTCCTGATATATCCCTTGAATTTTTTTTTCGGACCATGCCATTCCAACAAACATAACTAATCCAGCTGACCTATTTCACAGATCCTATATCTATCACACAAAATGGGCAACAATCCCCCCCAGACAACCGAGGCCGCGAACGATCTCAATCCAAACGGCTTCGTCACTGACCGCGAGGTCGACGGTGAGCGACGTTCCATCCGCCACTATAATGATGGGCGAATATCGGGACGCGGTAGAAGTGTCGAGGCTAGCCTCCGGGCAAAGATGAGAAACTCCAGTGGGACCGGAAGTCGAGTCAGGCCTCTTACCTCCCGCAGGGAATCGGGCGGTCGCTCTACCCCAACCGGGTCTGGTCTAGCTGGTGCTGCTGATATTACTGCTGCTATGGCTAAGCTCACTGTTGATCATCCCAATAGTGCAAAGGTAAAGAAACTCAGCAAGAAGTTGAACCTCGATGCCGACCCAGGAATTGAGACTGTGACTCTGCGAAAGGTCACTCCTTCATCTGTAGCTAGCGTGGTCTCCTCTAAGTGCAGTGGGAGCAGCAACGGTTCTGTCAATGCTAGGATAGCGGACATTGAAAATCGAGTAAGAAAGCACATCAAGACACGGCTCCAGTCTATAACGGAGGAAGATGAAGAGTAAAAAAAAGAAAGGAGTTTCGGAAACTAGAGAATTGGAGAACATCACCTTGGTTACTTGTTCATTGAATTACTGCTAACGTGTCGAATTGTTCTTTGTGATAGATCTTACAAGCTTGCTTCTTATACGCACGGCTACTCACAGCTCCCCAGTCTATGCCCATCACTATGAAAGAACTTGAGGTAAGTTTTTTTCTTTGATATCCCGAGACATGTCTCTCGTGTCTATCATTTCGTCTAATTTTTAGGTCATCCATTTATGCATCGCTTCATAAAGCATCTCTTGGGGTATTTTCCATCAATTCCAACATTATTTTGCTCATTTTTCTCCAGTAAATTCCGATATATTGTAAGACATAGTTATAGAGCCCACATAGAGATAGAATTAAGAAAATTGGAGCAGGTAGGACCATACAATATAACAAGAGCAGCCTTTCAAACCCTATATGCGGATAAGGCCCTCCATATGACTATCGAATAAACGCTGATACACAGGGGAAATGGAGAGTATCATACTATACATGAGTAAATGGAACAAAAAGTGTATATCTACATATCATAAGAAAAAGAGAGGGAAACCAGGGACATCATGAAACTGCCTGTTCCGCCCGTTGTTTCGCTGCTTCATCTTCGGCCTTCATCTCCTCCCACATTGCAGCAAAATCTCCCTTGAACGAATCTTTGGCTGGGTCTAGCCTCACATCCCAGACATCCTCACTGCTCGGGCCTGTCTTATACTTAATTGACTTCTTCCGATTGTGGTCACGGATCTCTCTCCTGCGCAAATCTTCCGGCCAAGTTCGTGTCTTCATACACAGCCATAGATTATCCCAATGATCGCTGCATGATCGTAGCTCTCCATATCGATAAACATTCACAAATTGGCCTCCGAAAGATTGACAGAAGAAGGCGTAGTCGAAGGCATTGCGGCAAGACATGGTATCTTGGTAGAGGGATTCGGGAGAGATGGGTGATGAAGGTGTTTGGGATTCTGGCGACGGGTTGCCATCAGGATTTAGCCCTGTTTGTTTTGAAAGCGACACATTCTCAGCTCTGAGATCGGCTAGGATTTGGTTGAATTCCAAGTCGGCTTGTTCGTCGGGGGTCAAGGTCTTCGATGGTGTATTCTGCTTTGCTGTCTCTGTTGGAATTGTGGATGGAACATCCTTAGGAGTTTCCTTGGGACTTGATCCCCACAGCCAGCCCATTGTTGTTTTGTGAGAGGAAAGAATTGATGGATCTATTTTCACCTGGCAATACCTTGAAATCGCGAGGTTATCTTTTTCGCGGTAATCAATATGTCATGTGACTCCGATAACCGGTGATAATCACAAACCGACGTCATTCATTTGGACCTTTTAAAACAACTTGATCGCTCTTCCAAGGTTTTTCTCCCTTCTGTTCGGTATGTGTCTGTGGCCAGAATGAGAATCTCACCCTTATCAAAAGGCTGGTTGGCTGTTTGGTCTCCGACATGCTCTCATGTTAAGGCCAATGCATCCCGGTTGTGGAGACCTCCACTTTGGGGACGCTCGACGATACGTTGCACATCTTCTAGTATCAAATCAGGACGAATTCCAGTAGGAGAAAACGAAGGAATTATCTATGTCAATAGTGAGCTCCAGATCATTGGAAGCTATTATATCGACTTACTAACCAACTCCAGATATATTTCCGCACCGGTTACAATGGCTGCTGCGGGGACCCCTCAGCCATATTCAACCTCTCGAGGGAATTCTGGCGCGAGTCAACAACCCAGAACTAGCAGCAGCTGACCCAACTCGTATTGTTCAACGAGCTTTTCCCAAAGAACTTGATCTGGAGATCAAAGAGGTAGTGACAAGGTACAAAGAGGGAGGCGCATTCGTGAAATATGCACTCAAGTCAGACATCAGCAATGAAAGTATCCAGAATGCAATTAAGGCGCATCTAAAAACCAATCCCATTACGCCGTGGTTCAATCCAATCCTGAAAATCGATGCAGATCTTGTTCGCGGAACGCCATGGATCGAAGACCTCTATCGAATCCCAAGCCAAACTCTAAAGGTGGAATTCTTGCCAACGTCCCCGGATAACTCAGCGGTTGAATTAACCCAAGAGACCCTATACTCACTATTCCGACCTTACGGCAAACTTCTAGACATCCAAACACAGCCTTCAGATTCGAAGGTCGAACCAAAATATGCAACACTGCGGTTCGAACGCCCTCGGTTCGCTGTGATGGCAAGAAACTGCATGCACGGGTTTATTGTGTCTGAAAAAGCAGGGGGTGGCAAGTCCGGTACAAGGTTCAGAATCAACTACGAGCGCAGGATTAAGCTGTTTATGATCAAGGATTGGATCTTGAACCATCCAAGATTAGTGATCCCTGCTATAGCTGCTCTGTTAGCTACAATAACGGTCATTATCTTCGACCCAATTCGCACGTTCTTCATCACGCTCAAAATCAAGTCGTCGTTCCAGAGCGGAGAGAATCCTGTCTTGCAGTGGGTTCGCGAACAGGCCAGCAAAGCGAGCATGTTCTCATTTGGGAAGCGAAAGTCAGACCCGCGAGGTTTGGCCGCTATTTGGGAAGACCGACAAAAAGAGATTGCACAATTGCGAGCCTGGTTAACGGAGACTGCAGAGACCTTCATTGTTATTCATGGTCCACGGGGCTCAGGGAAACGCGAGTTAGTTTTGGAACAAGCTCTGAAAGAGCACAAGTATAAGGTCATCATTGACTGCAAACAAATTCAAGATGCTCGGGGGGATACAGCCAAGATCTCACGAGCAGCCGCTCAGGTCGGCTACCGGCCGATTTTTTCTTGGATGAACAGCATCAGCAGCTTTATCGACCTTGCTGCACAGGGAATGATTGGCACCAAGGCTGGCTTCTCCGAGACACTGGATGCGCAGTTGAGCAAGATCTGGCAGAATACTGGTGTAGCCATGAAGCGAGTCGCCTTGGAGGGTAGACGAAAGGACGACAAAGATTTTAACATGTCCGAAGATGAATATCTGGAGGCCCATCCGGAAGTGAGACCTGTTGTTGTAATTGACAATTTCCTCTATGATGCGGACGACAGTGTCGTGCTTGACAAACTTACTGAATGGGCGGCTGGCCTAACATCCGCAAACATCGCCCATGTCGTCTTCTTGACGACTGATTCCTCTTTTGCAAAGCCGTTGAGCAAAGCTATGCCTAACCAAGTGTTCCGCACAATTGCCTTGGGTGACTGCTCGCTCGAAGTTGGTCGTCGTTTCGTATTGAGTCATCTGGACGCAGAGGCAGGCGATAGTGACGATGAACAGAATGCAAGGCGCAAAGAGACACTTCGTGGCCTAGATTATTGCATTAAGGTGCTGGGTGGTCGAGTTACTGACTTGGAGTTCATGGCCCATCGGATTGAGGCCGGGGAAACCCCTGAAGGTAAGTTTATCCCTTGCCTTGCCACTGGAATTCCATTAACCGTTGTATAGCTGCTGTGGACCGTATTATTGAGCAATCAGCGTCTGAAATTCTGAAGATATTTATCCTCGGAACGGAGTCGATTGCACCTCAATGGACCCGTGAACAGGCGTGGCATCTGATCAAATCCATCGCCAATTCGAAGGATGGAAACCTGTTGTACACCAAAGTCCTCCTCGAGGATATATTCAAGGATAACGGCGAAGCCACACTCCGGGCACTAGAGCAAGCGGAACTCGTTTCCATCGGAACCGATGAAGGATTCCCACGATACGTTAAGCCAGGAAAACCCGTGTATCGTGCTGCATTCCAACGTTTGGTTGCGAACAAGACCCTGCAGAGCCGCCTTGATCTGTTAATTCTCTCACAGCTTATTGGAAACGAGAATTCAAGTATCTCGAAGTATGAGGAGGAGCTGCAGGTCCTTGGCTCGCTGCCCAAATACCCCTGGGAGCTAACGTCGCGGATCGAGTGGCTTCTGCGCAAAGTTCACGGATCGCAATCAAAAATTCTCAAGTATGAGAGTGAAAGTGCTGCCTTGTCAAAGTCTTTGCAGAAGGAGAATTGAGCTTTTATCTATTGTATATCAATCTCATCTCAATATTACTCCATTACTGGCGTTACATTCATGCAAACATGATCACCTTTGGTTTAAAAATTATAAACAAGTCAGATACCATAACCTAGCACACTATGGTACTAAGTCTAGTCCTTTGTTTGACCCCTGTTTTATGAATTCGAATTTATGGGTATAAATTTGTTGTTGGCCGCATGGAAGTATAAACATGAAGTTATATCAACTTTTGAGGGTTCACAATATTATCTGACAGCCCCCTGTCATTATATAGAATAAAGTACAATCTTTTTTTTTTTTTTTAAAAAAAAAAAAATATTAAAAAGCAAGGAAAATCATCGACAAAAATAGGTAGAACCTGGACAACTGCCTAGTGAGATGAGCTTAGTCAGCCACAAACAAACCCGGTGCTTCGTTTGCCATCGTGTCCCTTCACCCTTCACCTGGGATATATTTGAAAATCTGATCAATTCAAGTCTGTTATATCCCACTAGATACCTCATTTGAGTGGGTGCTGGCGTTGTAAACCTGTGTTCCCTTGCATGGGTTTCTTTTGGACCTTGGTTCGATCACAATGGAGAAGTACGAAACCTGGAGTCTTATACAGGCCTTCCGTGAGAAATATTTCAGTATAAACTGGTCAACAGTCTTTGCTGCTGTGGTGTTCGTATGCATCACAACCCGGATTATCTCGGGGCTTCAAAGTCGACAGCGAAACCCTTCAAAATCACAGGTGCGATTAGCACCTTATTGGTTTCCCTGGATTGGACATGGCCCTGCCCTCTTATGGGATTATGCCACTTTCTTTACAAGAACTCGGTTGGTTTTCTACTATATTGATTTCTGTTGCGCTTGTTAATGATATTATAGAGAATCTATGAATGAGCCTGTCTTTGGCATTTACCTTCGCGGTATTAAGCACAATGCTGTGGTTTCTCCATCTATGATGAAGATTGTTTTCTCTACCGAAGCTGCGACACCAACCAACCAGGTGCTCGATCGGGCTCTACAAAACGTCTTTGGCGACCGCAGCCTCATCCGCAATCTGGATTTGGCCCGTAACCAAGGAGTTAGCGACAAGGCTTCTACCATTCTCAACGAAGAGGCCTTTGTCACTGAAGCTTCGTCTGCTATCACCCGGTTGGTACGGCGCGATATGCCGAATCTGGTGAGCTTCTGTCGGAGTATTGTTGACCAATACCCCTGGGAGCGTGGAGTCAGTGGAGTGGAAGTTCCCGATGAAGGGGACCAGACAGTCTGCGAGGCTAATCTGTTTGCACTCGTGAGCAATTTTATCGGCCACATTACTTCTACTTTCCTGATGGGTGAGGCGTTTGTGGAAAATTTCCCTAATCTCTCAGAAGACCTTGGAAGAATCGACGATTGCTTTGTAACATTGTTTGCTGGCACTCCTCGCTGGGCGCCGCATCCAGCGGCTTCAGCAGGGCATGCAGCGAGTGACCGGCTTCGCCATATCTTTTCGATCTTTCATCGAGCTTTTACTGCTTGGGATGATGGGATCGATGCTGGCATTGAACTGCGTGATCTTGACGATGTCTCTGAACTGGTCAAAGATAGGATGCGAACTTTCCGCAAATTGGAGCTATCTCCCGGTGCCAGTGCTGCAGGGCACTTGTCTCTATATTATGATCTGATTGAGCACACAACTAAGATCACCTTTTGGACGATTACTCATCTCTTTGCTGAACCTTCACTTCTCGATCAAGTCCGCAAAGAGATTTCCTCCTACGTGGTAGCTTCAAGACCAACTCGTGAGGAAACTGGCTTCCCCTTCGATGAACCTCCTCGTCTCTCCCTGGATATTGAACAAGTGCTCACATCTTGTCCACTGTTCAAAGCGTGTTACTATGAGACTGTACGTCTCCACTCGGCAGGCATCTCATTCAAGAAGCTGGCGTCCGATGTGACACTTTCCGAGTCGGCAGAAGAAGCCGTCTATGGTCCGACTCAACCCCGTACATACAAAATTGCAATGGGCGAGAATATCATTCTACCTCATGGTACCTATCACCATGATGCTCGATACTTCTCAAACCCGGAGCAGTATGATCCCTTACGATTTCTCGTGACTGATCCTGCAACGGGAAAACAGCGTGTTGATTCAAGCATCCTTGCTCCCTTCGCAGATGGATTGTATGGCTCGACAAATAATGGCTTCACCGAGCGATCTATCTTGACTTTCACTGCTGGCATTGTGGCATTGTGGGAGATTAAGCCCACAAATGGTAAATTTCTCTCAGTTCCAGGGCACAAGACTAGCTGGGGTGCTTTCCGACCGAACAAGGAGTTACGGGTGAAGATGAAGTTGAGGGTGTAGGCATTGAAGCTTTGAATAACATTGTAATATAATAGAGAGCCTTGTAAATTTCATTTTATATGTGAATACTCCCTCGGCTCGGATTATTATCCGGATCGGCCTTGCACCGATGACACCATCCACTAGGGGGAATACATATTGAAGTCGCCCAATCCAGACGGTTATATTTCCTCAATAGTCTCTCTCGAAATCACCAAAATAAAAATGGAAGATCCCTATAGGGACTACGATGTCACAACCCCAATCACATCCACATCTGGACTTCGGCAGGGTCTAACATCCTATGGAGATCCCCATTTTTCTCTCTTCCTTCGAAAAGTGTTTATCAAGGCACTCGGATATTCAGAAGATGCCCTTTCACGTCCGATCGTGGGTATCATCAACACTTTCTCGGGGTTTAATCCCTGCCATGCCAATGTGCCCCAGCTCATTGAGGCTGCCAAGCGCGGTGTACAACTCAATGGAGGATTGGCAATAGAATTCCCTACCATTAGTGTTGCCGAGTCCTTCTCGCATCCAACCAGCATGTTCTTGCGGAATCTTATGAGTATGGACACGGAGGAGATGATCCGAGCTCAGCCGTTGGATGCTTGTATAATGATCGGAGGTGAGTTCCAATAGTTTGATCTTAGAATTTGTTTCCTGGCATGTGAGAATAGCCGTTGACAGAATCTAGGGTGTGATAAAACCGTCCCTGCTCAGTTGATGGGTGGCATCTCTGCCAACAAGCCAATCCTACCGCTGATCACTGGTCCAATGATGCCAGGGAGTCACCGCGGTCAACGTATTGGAGCCTGCACTGATTGTCGAAACAACTGGGCCGCTTTTCGAGCGGGTGATATTGACCTCGAGGAAATCTCGGCCATTAACGAAGAGCTTGCTCCAACGGTATGTGCAGATGTGGATCTCATTGGATCAAAGGCAATTTAATTCGCTGATCACAATGGCTGCTTGTTTAGATAGGGACATGCGGTGTCATGGGAACTGCTAGTACAATGGCTTGTGTGACTGCTGCGTTGGGAATGATGCCGCTTCGGGGCGCAACTGCACCAGCTGTATCATCAGCGAGACTGCGAATTGCCGAGGAGACTGGCGCAAATGCAGTTGCAATTGCAAAGTTGAAAAGAAAGCCACAAGAAATTTTAACAAAGGAATCGTTCTGGAATGCCATCACCGTGCTCCAGGCTATTGGGGGCTCGACAAATGCCGTTGTCCATCTGCTAGCTATTGCAAATAGACATCCAGAACTACAGGGAGTCATCACCTTAGACACTTTTGAGGAAATTGGCCGGAAAACTCCGCTGTTGATTGATCTCAAGCCGAGCGGAGATAATTATATGAATGACTTCCACAATGCAGGAGGCATGATGGCGCTGTTGCAGGTGCTTCGACCCCTGCTCCATTTATCTGCAGTGACAATTACTGGGCAATCACTGGGTGAGGTCCTCGATGCGTCCCAATCCAAGCGACTTTCCTTTGCGCAACAAATCATTCGGCCAATGTCAGATCCTTTGTTTCCCTCGTCATCCTTGGCTGTTCTGCGTGGCAATCTTGCCCCAGATGGAGCGGTCCTCAAAGCCTCAGCGTCAAAATATCGGCACTTGCTCTCCCATACTGGACCGGCTGTAGTGTTTGAGAATTCGGCCGACCTAGCTCAGCGGATCGACGATCCAAACCTAGCCGTGACGAAGGATAGTGTGCTGGTCCTGAAAAACATTGGTCCAGTTGGCAACCCAGGTATGCCAGAGGCTGGCCTTATCCCAATTCCAATGAAGCTAGCAGAGACAGGAGTTAAGGATATGCTACGACTTTCAGATGGTCGAATGTCAGGGACCGCAGGCGGAACCATTATTCTCCACATCTCGCCTGAAGCTGCGCTGCCAGAGTCACCATTTGGCGTTGTCGAGACCGGTGACTTTATTATTTGTGATATCGAGAATAGGAAATTGCAATTGGAAGTTTCCGATGCTGTATTGCAGACTCGGATTGAGAAACGCAGACAAAGTCTTGTAGGAGAGACACAGGCAAGAAAGCAGAGGAGAGGCTACCGAGGATTGTATGAGCGATCGGTGACCCAAGCGCAGGAGGGAGCAGACTTTGATTTCTTAACAGCTAGAGGTGCCAGCACATAGAATCTATTTTAGGTAAAAAAAAAATTAACCAACTACCAAACGATTCGAACCTAGCTAGGTCTATATAGAAAGGGGCCCTTACCCTGAGCCCTAAGCCCTATCTTATTACCCAATCCAGTTAAATCAACCAAGGCGCGTAACGCGGACGCGTCTGACCTTGTAGATCCCTGGCTATTTGCGACCCACCAGATTAAGATCGAAGGATGCTCCAGACTTTCTAATTGCAACTTGTTTGAATTATCGACCCCAGGCATTGTTTGCAATGAGCTTCGACCCTCTTCGCCCGCGGGGGCGCCCAGCCCGTAAGTCATGTTGATGATGAGAGACAAAATAGTTACTGAGAACGCGGCTTTCACATAGACACACCTGGTACAACGATACTGACATACACACCTGACGGAAAACGGATCATTACTGGTGGCTCCAACTCGGCAATTCGTATCTACACGGTCGGTGAAGATGGAGAGCCCAAGACTATCGACGAAGGTGTTGACGCGCATTTCGGCATTGGCGCTACGGTATGTTGGAACAGAAGATTCATGATCCGCCAGAATAACTGACAGGATTGCTAGAATCGGTCTTTCATCATGGGTGCCGAGGATGGAACAGTCTGGAAGTACGATATTATGTCGGGCAAGATGCAAAACTTGCTTGTACGATGCGCTTTGCCAGTCAGGGACATTGCAGTTACGAGAGACGGGGAATGGATTGCGGTAGCAAGCGAGTAAGTATGATATAGATCGTCTCAGACGGGAATTGGATGTACTAACACCGATGGGCTAGCGAGCTCACGGTCAAAATCGTGAAAGTCGACGACATGACACAAGTCAAGTATCTTCGGGAACAGTCCAAGGGAACGAAACATGTCACATTCGATCCCAGTGGCCGATATGCGACAGTATCCGGAACGGATGGAATTCTGTACGTATACTCTATGCACGAGGAGGAGCCAGAATTAGTCCGCAAGCTCGATGGAGTGATTCGACGACTGGAGCCAGATGCCGAGGCGACATCAAGAGCAGTGTGGCATCCCGATGGTACCGCATTCGCATCTGCGGAAGCAACCAGAGATATCTCTATCTACTCAACCTCGGAGTGGAAGAAAGAGAAAGAGTTTGCTGGTGGTCATACTGGTGACATCACGGCCTTAAGCTGGGCTCCGAACGGATCTCTTCTGGCATCTGCGGCGGCAGATGGATATATTGTGCTCTGGGAAGCAAAAACGCAAAAGATCTTGCAGCGGTACGACTTTGGGAATGTCGTCAATCTATCATGGCACCCGACGAAGAACTCGCTTTCATTCACAACTTCAGACGGTGAGCTTTTTATTTACGATAACTTTGTGCCGAAGGATCGTGAGTCTCTACTACAGAAACCGCTCCAGGCTGCTCCTATATTGCCTGGACCTCTGGGCGAGATCTCTAATAATGTTGGGCGAACCACACTGGCGGAGCGGTCCAAGGAGGCCATCCAGCGAGCGGCGAGAAGAGGAAGCCCAGACTCGCTAGATGATATCCTTGGTGGAGATGACCAGATGATGGATTTCGTCGAGGATGATGATGGGGCTGGCTATGCCGATGAGGAGCTCAATCTGTATGGCAAGCGGCCAATCGATCATCTCGATGATGTCGGCGGCACTAGTAACAAGCGTCTTTACTCTGGCTTCGAGAAGCCTAGGGCCCATCCGCCCCTTCAGCCTGGTAGCACGCCTTGGGCTGGGAGTAGGAGATACCTCTGTATGTTCTTGTTCCAACTTCAGTGTTGTCGATTTACTAACTTTCTCAGGCCTGAACTTGACGGGAGCTGTCTGGACGGTCGACCAGGAAACACATCACACTGTTACTGTGGAATTCTATGATCGAGAAGCTCACCGAGACTTCCATTTCACTGATCCATATATGTATGACAAGGCTTGCCTAAGTGAGTTTTCCCCTAGTCTTGCCTTCTTGTGTTGATATTTGGCTGATCAACTATAGATGACAACGGAACACTTTTTGCCAATAACCCTTCGGATGGTAGTCCGGCCACTATCTTTTACCGGCCACATGAGACGTGGACTGCACGAGCCGACTGGCGGACTGAATTGCCTGAGGGTGAACAAATTCGAGGTAAGAATTCAAAAGACTATACTCGATAGTGATTATCGTACTGATTCTCATTGTCAGCGCTGGCACTTAGCGACTCATACATAGTCGCTGTAACATCAAAGGACTATGTTCGAGTGTACACTCTTTTTGGAACTCCTTTCAGGGTGTATCGACAAAAGAGCCAAGCCGTGACTTGCGCAGCCTGGCGCGACTACATTATGAGTATCGGAAACGGCCCTATAGGAATTGATGGCCACACGACTTTACGATACACAGTGGAGAATGTCAAGCGTGACGAGATCTGCCAAAACGAAGACACTGTCGCCCTTCCGGAAGGGGCTTCGCTACAGAGTGTTTTCTTCTCCGATAATGGGGTATGCGCCACCAAAAACAGAAGAATTGAATACGAAATTAATCATTTTTTTAGGATCCTTGTATCTATGATTCGACTGGAGTCCTACTAGTTCTGCAACATTGGCGTACACCTGGCCAAGCCCGATGGGTACCACTCCTGGACACGAAGCAAATGGCACGTCTCGCGGGAGGACGGAAAGAAGAAACATACTGGCCAGTGGCTGTCGCACATGACAAGTTCCACTGTATCATTCTCAAGGGTGGCGACAAGAACCCTTACTTCCCGCGGCCGCTGCTCAGTGAATTCGACTTCCAGATCCCGATTACCAGAGCTCCGAAGGATTCTAGCGAATCAGAAGACACGGCAACTGAGGGTGCCCGTTTTGAGGAATCATTTGTACGTGGAAATGTACTTTTGTCGCTCTTCCGTGACCTTCTCTCGTCAACCAATGCGACGGCAAGCCAGCGCTCTGACTTGGCGCGAAGAGAGCTCGACTTGGATAAGACCTTGCTGCAGATGCTGGCCATTGAATGCAGAGAGGGCGAGGAGCGTGGTATGAAGGCGCTAGAGCTGGTGACCTTGATGACAGACCGCAATGGTAAGATGCTCGAAGCGGCCGCCAAGATTGCACAGCGTTACGGACGTGGTGTCTTAGAGGATAAGATCCGCGATCTGGCTGAACGACGTGTTATGGGAATGGAAGATGATGAACTAGCTTGAAGTTATAATATGTTAAATTAGTTTCAATTCAGATCTACTTGTAAAACTTATAGAATCATATAATTGGTATGTGAATACCTAAGTGTAGAAATTGTATACCAAACCATTGTGATTGGCTCCCGAAACGTCATTTTCCCCGACTCCCCGACTCCGAGCAACTTCAACCTTTCAACATATCTTCATGGCTTAACAACATACTAAAATCAGACTGCTTTTGAAATGCAGAATGCCGAAGCTGGTCTATCTGCGCACGTCTCTTCCCAATAAGCCGAAGAGCCGGCTTTTTGCTTCAGTTTCGCGACAGCGACTGGCGCAACCTCGTCATGGCCTTCTCAATGAGCCCTGGCTAGCTCCAGCTTCCGTTACACCTCTACCAACCACATACTTCTCCCCGGCTTGGGTGTGGAGGGAGGATGGGGAAGGCATTCGGAGAACCGATCACAAACCGCCAGATGAAAGAACCTTGAAACTCGGAAAGAGTGTGTACTCACTAATTCCCCATCCGCTTGCCAAAAAGCAAAAGCGATCAAACTAACGATTCAAGCTTTACGAACCCTCTCACCCCTCTTACCGACCTTACTGTACAACACCTTACCCACCGACATCCTCGCCCCGAGTGTCAATCTTCACCTATTCCCATCCACACATCCACACCTACCCACTGTCAAAGGACGCACACTCTATCGCGCAGCACTATGGACTGTCCCCGTAGCATGGAGCAGCGTACCACTAGTTGGAAATGTGAAACTGCAAATTCTCAGCGAAAGGATCGTACGCGCTGGGACGTTGCTCGACCCCACGCATCATGGCGACCACCACGACTGCGGCGATGAGCGCCTACTAGTACGATGGAAGACAGAGCCACGAACAGACAGCCGCCCCTTCCATGGTCCAGGCTCTTTGAATACCAATTCTATAACCCCCTCAGAAACCACCCCATCCTCACAAAATAGCCATCTCTCGGCTTCCACAAACGGCACCAACAAAGGGCTGAGTGTCCTTCTTGGTGGTGAAGAGCCTATTTTCAAGCTTTCAAAAGAAGAGCAATTCACCGGTATCTTTATTTTCTCTTTTGATGAGGAGGGTCGCATCCTGACTCATACTATCGAGCATGCCGATGAAGCGGACGGCTGGGACCGGACTGCTAAATTCGTGACTCTCACTGACTGGCTCATTGGCAAAGCACGTGGCTCATTGGACCCTGCTGTTAGTACAGGACTTGCTATGGCGACTTCTGATGGGTTTGCTTCCGGCAATGGCCGGAGGTCGTGATTGCAACCTCATATTCGACCATACCTTGAGCGAGTCTCTTACTAAATGAAAACATTCTGAAGGGAACGGAAGAATGTAAAATGGCCGTTGTGTTATGTATTATCTTCTAACCTTTGCATTTTGTATTCTTTGGGTTTAAATCTCTTCTTGATACAAGGCGCAAAGGATGGGCCGTTTTTATGTCGAGACTCCTCTCACTTACATGTACTATCGCCACTCTTCTGTGTATTATACCCTGTACTCAACAAAGAAATCAATGATAAAATTACAAAATATCAATAGTAAGGCATTTGGACCATCATTATATTGAATATACTTCCCATTACTATACATCACTCGGTCTTTTGGTGAACAGCAGGCGACTTCAACAAGCTAAAAACCGCAACTGTAACGAGACACATGGCGAATCCACCTGTCGTATAAGCAGCCTCACGGCCAGCCCACCAAAATAGAGAGCAGAACAAAATAGGACCAGCCGCCCTACCAGCCTGTCCCCACCCTCGTAAACGACCCATAACTGCGCCGCGGTCTGCGTCCTGCGCTTCGAAACTACCCAGGCTGTTTAATGACGTGACGACCGTAGCGGTCGTCACCGCCAGCAAAGCACCGGCAGCATAGAGACCCGAGGGCGAAGAAACGTGAGCAAGACAGAAGAATGAGATGGTGCAGGCTACAACACCGGCACGGAGGGTGAGCAGTGGCGGGAGACGGCGTACCAGCGTACCCTGGAGGAGGGATGCGATCAAGCCCATCAGGGATAAAAGACGCCCGTTCAGTGCGGCAGGGCTGGCTGTCGTGGCTGATCCTGCGTAGAGAGTTGTAGTCAAGAAGGGGAGGGAGAACTCCATGCCAGAGAAGGGCAGTAGGAAGAGGAAGTGGAGGGCATTAAGGAGGGCCGGGCTGTTTGTATAGCTGCGCTTAATGGGAGCACCGCTCTTCTTTTCTGCATGCTTACTCGACGCATCATGTTTCTCGGAGGTATCCTCATCCTCCATCTGAAGCGTCGTCAAGCGGGGATGTGTCTCGGGTAAACAAGCCCAAAGATACACAGTCTCAATAAATATCAGAGCGAAAGACACAATCGCAGCGACAATGAACGGGTTCTCGGCAACCATATCAATATTGCTTAGCGCTGCACCTAGCGCCGGCCCAAAAGTGAACGCGATGCTGAAACAGGCCCCGACCAGTGCCATGGAGGAGCCGCGGCGTTTCTCGTCTGTGATATCCGCTACGATGGCGTTGGCCATTTGCACATTTGCTTCACTGAGACCACCAACAATACGACTGGCGAGGAACGTGCGGAAGTCTCTGGCTGAAACCCACAGCGCGACGCTTAGGAGATTGCCTAGCATGGAAATGAGTAGAGCGCGACGGCGGCCATAGTGGTCAGATAGGCGACCTATAACGGGCGCAGCGAAGGCTTGAAGGAGGGAGAACAAAGAGCCAAGAGCTCCACCAAGGAGTGCGATGTCATAGCGCGAGTCAATGGGGCGCGCGAAGGAGTTTTTGTAGGCGTTGAGGTAGTGGAAGATACGGTTGAGAAGGGAATCCGGGGATGGATCTTGCGCACGATAAAACGATAGAAGCGAAGGGAATAGGGGCAGGATAAATGTAAAGGAGATCTGAAGGTATTGTCAGTTCGAGTAAATGTGATTGGCTCTGGAGGGGTATATACCAGATCGATCAATAATGATAGTACCACCACCTTCAGCACCTGCTTACGTTGGGCGCCAGCGATAGCCATTTTTGCCGGCGCCGTATATACAATAAAAATATATAAAGAGAAAGAAAGTAACAATGTGAAAAATAATCTCGAGAAGTTGACACTTATGCAAAGAGCTCCTAGTAGAAAAATGATTTTAATCAGATTGAATATGTCAGCTCCTCGGTGTGCATTGCCTATCGTGGTTTAGCGCCACCTAAAAACGGGTTTCATCCAAATACGCTAGTAATAATGAAATGCGAATTTCAAGAATACCTACGGAATATAGTGGTTATTTTCAAATGTTAAGGAGGGTAGTATGTAACGAAATTACATTATTCGGGTGCCAAGGGTAGCTCCAAGGAACCTCCCGCAGTGGGTATATCACATCACGTGACATGTTATACTTCTTGTCTCTATTCAAATATAGAACTTGTTCTATTGGCAACTCGTAAAAGATACCGTTATCTAGGGAAAATCTTAAGTAGTGGTAGTAATGGTGCACTCATTATGATCAATTTCGATCTATGCCCAACCTAAGCCTGTCCACCGGTCCGTTCACAAGCGCCGATAAAACAATAGCCCTAGAATACATATGTATGTCGTGAGAGAAGCTCTCTAAAGATCAGGAATATGCACGCTGAAGAAAAAATTGCAGCACATGGGTCAAGAAGACTTTGGTAAAGCCAGACGAAGAGATCAAAATGACTCTCCGTGAAGAAAATTCGTTGCGTTCGTGAGCCATCACATCGGATCAGAAATTTCTGAGGTCAGTCCCAGAAGACAGGCTCAGAAACCTCTTGCTAGAACACCAATTTCGAGACAATATCCCGAAACCAGCAAGTTCCAACGTCCTATGATTGCCACTCTTACTCGCTGGAAGCAGGAGCTTCTGCCGAGCCAGAGCCAGGGCCGCTTGCACCGCCACGACCACGTCCGCCACGACCACCTCGTCGTCCACCACGTCCACGACCCTCACCAGTACGACCCTCAGGAGCACGGCCTTCACTACCACGGCCCTCGCCAGCACGCTTAGCATCATTTCGGCCTCGGCCACGGTGTCCCTGTCCGTGACGGCGGCGTCCACCAGATTTCGCACCGTTCTCGCCCTGAGTCGAAACTTCAGTACCAGCTGAACCATTGTTCAACCCCGCATCAGCGCTAGCCGGGGTAGCCTGGAGGCCAGTGTCGGTCTCATCAGGGTTGCGAGGAAGCTTGACCCATTCACTGCTCTCGTCGGAAGTAGGAGCCCAGGTTTGCTCCGCCTTAGAGTTTCCAGCATCAGAAACCTGAGTCTGCACTGGAGGGGCCACCTTATCAGATTGGGAGGCTACAGGCTCAGCCTGGGCGCCGAAAGAGGTATCTTGGAGCTCAGTCAATGCAGCGTTAGCCATGGTAGGGTCGGTGGTAGGGTCGGTGGCAGGTGTTGTCTCCGAGACAACTTCGGTAGCCTCCTCAGGTGGAGCGAACTTGTCAGACGCCTGCTTTACATCGCCATCTAAAGAGGTATACTGTCAGTAAAAACTGGTACATTCAAGTACATCTGGTGGGGGTGGGGCATGTATTGCTGACAGGTAAAATCAAGAGTGGTGCCCTCAACGGCATTGACCTTCTCATCGGCACCCTCAGCAATCTTCAGTAGCGAGTTGACTGCAGACTGGTTGCCAGCGTACACCTCGAACAGAACACCCTCGAAAGCACGGCTCTCGGTGGTGACGGCATCACCATCGCGTCGAAGGATGGCCGCGGCGCACAAGAATTTAGTCACAGTATAGAACTGCTGGCGCAGTGCCTTCTTGGAAGCCTCAGTCGCGTCAGCAATGGCATTCTTACGGACAGCTTCGAGCTCCGCCTCATGCGCCTTGACAAGTGCAGTCTTCTGAGCAGCCAGGCGTTCCTCGTATTGGGCAGCGAATTGTTTGTAGTGGCCAATCTGCTCCTCAGCCTGAGCAACGGTCGCCTGTAGAGCAGGTTTCTTAAGGACCTGGGCCTTCTGGTCGTTGTTGATCTTCTTCTCCTCAATCAGTTGATCGAGCGACTTGTCGGGGTTTTCGGCGATGATGGCGTCGACTTTGGCAAGTGAATTCTAGTAAAAAGAAATAGTAGTGTTAGAAATGTTATAGAAAGAACCAATTGGAATCAAATGTCATTCGATAATGACTCACCAACTTCTTCATGGCATTGCGGAGGGTCCTAAACGGGGCATACAGTTAGCATTCACCTGCGCATAGGCAATAGCCACACAACCAGGTTTCATAGGATTTTAACATACTTCTGCAGCTCCTTCAAGTAGCTATTTTCTTGGGCCTCAGAGATGGGACTCTCTAGGTCCTTGGAAACACTTGAAGCTCGGGAGCCCTTCTCCTCGTCCTTGAGCTTCTGAGTAGCGGAAGCGGGAGGCATGATGTGAAGGTGACACAGATATTAAAGTATTTTTTTGAAAAGCTTGTACAGGTCTGGAAGAATTAAACGTGATAACGTTGAAGAATTGAAGAACAGATGGGTTGTTATGAAGGAAGAATATGCGGGTCGGGAAACACCTTTTTGGTCGGTGTGGCCCACTGGCTTTGGGCAGACTCTCTCTCTCTCTCTCTCTCTCTCTCTCTCTTTTACACGTTTAGTGCGCAAGGCAAATCACTATATCTATACGCAATTTACCAACTGATTTGTTATTTGATTTCTTCCATTGTATTGTTTCAAGGGTATCATATTCACATTCGCCCATAACGCCATAATATCACAATATCCAAGCCAATCTTAGTACAGTATCCCCCTTTCATATCCATGCTAGACAAGTCTTCGGAATGACAGATCGAGGCTATCCCTGGAACTTGCGCAGTGTTTTCTAAATGAACCCATATCTGTTAGCTATATGTTCCCACGAGCCTTCCAGAGAAGCTCTTAGATCGGCCTCGAACAACGTACCTCAGTGACTTTCCGCACAGTATTCGCTGAGATATTCTTCTCTCCAGACTTGCGCGACCGAATCGATGCCTCGCGCATTAACCTATGATGTGTTAGCCCGCCAGTTCAACCATGTCAGCGGCAAGAACGCAAATCGGAGCATTGCGACCAGGGAACCAAAGCACAAGGATAGATGGAGACATACTCTTGCATGAATAGCATGTAGTCCAAGAAGATCTATAAAACGAGTATTAGCAACTGGAGGAGAGGCTTCATATCGGAACCATCGCGTACCAGGATGTCGGCATTCTTGCTCACGCTCCGATTGGAGTGGGCTTTCACGATACGCTTGACTGTTCCTCGTGGATAAAGCTTTTGAGCTGGGGCCATTATGAGTAGAATAAAAACGGAGTCATAGAGATGTTCAATGTTCAATGTTTACCCTCCCAAAAGGATGTGGGGAGATCGGACTGTAATGATTTCTTATGTAATGTGGTATTTGTATTTTCCGGGAATCTCCACATGTGATATTGTTATGTACTCGTAGCTACTATGTAGTTATGGAGATCTTCATTACATCTTTATTGATATATATTTGCTAATGTACACTTCAACGAAGTCGTCGAAGAATTCGCCATGCTGAAACACCAGCAATTGTACCAATGGCTACACGCCAGGCTAGGAAAACCCAGATTGCCATGCGCAAGCGAGCATAATACCCACGGAGCATGATCCCAACAGCATAAGAAGTCCCATCTGTTGCTTGGTCTGTCGGGCCATAATATCTTCCCACTCCAAGGCCGCCAATTCCCACTTCATTGTGATCATGATCGAAATTTGTCTCCGGCACTGGGAGTGCAGCCGCTTCCCCATCAGAGGCGATGTTACTAGGACGAGCACCCGATCTCACATTGAGTGCATTACGCTTCCGCAAATTATAAGTCACAATGCTGACGATCAACCGTAGATCAGGCACAGTAAATGTTGGATATTTCCACAACTGCACAGTCTGGTGGGGAGGGAGCATATCCAAGAAATCAGCCAGGATGCCGAGGGTGAGTCCCCAGAGGAGCAGCGGCCGGGAAGTGTCACTCGACTCTGCTTGCCCACTCAGACACCATCCCTTAAAGCGCTGGATCAGGGAAGGTTTGGATGTATTATCTTCAGGAATAAACCCCGGAGTTGTAGTGCATTGATGAGTTTCCGATGGGAGCAACCTCACGGCTGAGAACTGCATCCAGCCCATCAGAGACCGAACTGCAAGACGGGTCAGAAAACCACCTTGGCGACCGAAGCGCTGCGACATATCCACATATTCCACCGTCCGCAGCAATGGTGATAGAAGAGCGCGCAGGGGAATCCAATGTGTTGATGCTACTTCCGTGGGCTGTAATCTAAGGGTCGGAGAGTCGCTGCGAGTCGTGAGGAAGACGAAGGGACAAAGAACCATCAATCTGCCATTTAAGTTAGTAACCCAGTTCTTGGTGAAAGTGAACGGTATCCATACGGTTCAGACCCCCAGCTAGTAGTGACCACCCGCTCGGGAAGATTTCCCACACTAATGGTATCATTCGTTGTCAAATCTAATCCGATTTCCTCTAAAGCTTCTCTGATAGCTGCAGCTTTATCATCTGCGTCTTCCGGGTCTCGTTTTCCGCCCGGCAGGGCAACATGACCAGTCCATCGGTCCCCCACACGCGAAGCACGCTTGATAAACAGAACCTCCGGTTCGCCATGCTGGACCCATGGCTGTGAAAAGAACTCATCTAAACGTTTTTGGGTTGGCTGAGAAGCATCTTTTATAGTGTTTGAGTTGGGCCAATGATCGTAAGTCGGTCGTACCCGAATAATTAAGGCAACCGAGGCGCGTTTCTTGCATGTTGAGGGGTTTGGGACGTGAGGATAAGGTCGACGATGTAGCTCAGATAATACGCCATGTAGATGATGGGGCAGACCCGGGGGTTGTGTCTTCTCCATCAAGTTTGATATGTAATATGCACAATCTGTACTATTAGATATTCAAAGATCCTTAAGAGGATATCGGTATCGGAGAAGTCCATAATGATCGGGCGGTATCGGTCTAGCCCCGTCTCGTAATTATGTATGGTTAAATACCATACAATACCTTACGGGTCATA